GAGGATTTAATGATCCTCATGATTCAAAAATTTTAAAGTGATCTAGATGATGAAGCTTTATCGCTCTCCTAATTCCCTAGCTTCAATGAATGACACACCACTGATGAAGACATAGTTTTCCTGACCATTGTCGTTCTAAAAGACAACCTAGTTAGGTAGTTAGTAGTATGCGAGAGCTATAATATTGTCTGTTCATTCAAAAAGAAAAATGAAGAAAAGCTGTACCTCAGCGACATATAAGTGAACTGGGTAATCTAAGCTATTCATTCTTTATCTCTAACCGAAACATTTTTCATGTTCCTGTCAAGTTTGTAAATAAAAATCTGTCATGTTGAAACCCCAGGAACCCAGGATAAAACATTATATCACGAAAGATATCATCTAGTATGAAAATCATCTACCTATACTTGAATGGAAGCAGGAGGATCTTTAGGCAATGCTGTATCAGCATGATTTGTGATGCAACTTGAATTTAAATAGGAACTGCGGAATCCTCGGAAACTCATCAGTGCTGAGATGAAAAATACATTACTGTTTAGACGTTTTCGACATGCAAGCCAAGCAGAAAGGTAGGGGTTGCTTATTTCTTCAATATTTTCGATAAGTTTACAGTGAAATGATTTGGTTTTAGTGATGAACAACCACGTCATAAAATAATTTTACGATTGGGACATCTCATGAAAGAATCTTCTTCTTTATCGCCTGCGTATCGAATATCACGTCAATGATGGAAATCACGTCTGTGGTTGAGTACAGATTGAAGAAAAATAGAAGAAGAGAATGTCAATCTTATATTGTCTATTTTGATATAAACAAATGAGCTCTTTCCATAGTCTCTTCCCCAGCGCCACTTGACAGGCAGACATATTTCGATTCACTGAACAGACAATATTATTACCTCCTAGCACTAGGTCGCCTACTAAGTTTACATTTAGATCGACAATATCCTGACAAACTATGATTAGTTTATGAGTTTATGAAACTTGATGTGTGATAAACCATAATGCGAAAAATATCCGAAACTTGACTAGGAAAAACCATTAGCTATGGAACATTTTCTATAGCGATAATAAAAAACTATCAATATTTACTCGTGGTATAATGATATCTGATATTTAAAAGTCTCCTGTCCCTGCCACGGTGTTTGTTGCCAAACTCCTCCGAAACCTCCGATTTTCATATTTCTCATATTCGGTAGGTCTGAGGATCGGTCGTACCCTTGTGAATACTCAATGGTTGTAACCTATTTTTCAAATCGAAAATTCGATACGGCGGATCGAATTTGTAGTCCGATTTTATTCCAAATTGGTATCTGGGGTCGGAGATTAGGATTATTTCATCAAAATTTGGAAATTCAAGATGACGGATCCAATATGGTGGACAAGTTTTGTATTTATGGTCCGATTCTAGTCAAAATTGGTATCGGGAGGTTCCCGAGGTAGGAGATTATGAATCTTTCGTCAAAGTTAGTAAATTAATGATGGTGGAAGGCGGACGAGCTTTGCAATAAATAGTACATCGAAAAACTATGATTGAACACGCTTTTATAGATAGCCAAACTCGAGGTCAAACTAAAAAGAAGTAGAAAATAGATAGTATAGTTTACTACAGAGATAGATTGTCGAAATTAAAAGAAGTATAAAATAAATAGTAGTTTCGATAACTAAAGAAACACGTTTTCATGGATAGCCAAACTAAGAAGCAGGAAACGAAGTAATAAAAGTGTATTGAGAAATATTTAACTAAAAAATATTTTCTAGAGATAAATGAATTTAGCAAAACAACGTTTGCCGGGCCAGCTATTGAAATAAAGAGTAGTTTTAAAAACTAATGAAACACGCTTTCATATAGATAGCCAAATTGAAGAGGAGTAGGAAATAAACAGTATTTAAAAAAGAAAGAGATAGATTGCCGAACCAAAAAGAAGTGGGAAATGAAATAACGAAAGTGTGCTGATAGATATTGGAAACCAGGAAAATATTTCCTAGAAAAATTGTTTCTTTTATTTAAGTATGGGGCCAAACCCCAAGGGGCGTTAAATTTGGTGATGGTGGGACGAAAATTTCATATGAACATTAGATTTTAGATTTAGAATGGGGCCTTCGGGCTATCTGCCTCCACACCGCGACCTTTTCAGATCTATTGTGTCTGCCCTCAAAATCGATTAGAGTTCTTCGGCTAGCCCCGTCTTCTCTATGAGACTCCATAGGCTAGCTTTCAGATCCCCTGTGTATCTCTGGGCTTCTGGTTTTTCCTCACCCAGCGTAAGGAACCTTAGTCTTGACAAGCCCTCACAGTGGCAAAGTATGTGTACTGCTGTTTCCTCCTCTTCCTGACAGAACCTGCACAGCAGTTCTTCAGTCAGACCTATCGTACTCATGTGTTTGTTGAGCCTACAATGCCCTGTGAGAAGTCCCACTAGTATTCTAGTTGAACTTCGTTTCTGGCTTAGTAGATATTCTGTGAATGTTGGCGATGGTTTTTTAATAAACTCTTTTGCCTGTCTCATTCCTGGCGATTTGTTCCACCATTCTTGAGATTTGGTTTGCATCCATGATTTGATACTAGTCTTTTGTATAGCTTTCGCAATACCACAGAAGGGTTCTGGGCCATTCAGAGCTTTGTTTGCTCCTGCTCGGGCAAGTGAGTCTGCCTCTTCATTGCCCTCGTACCCTGTATGTGCTGGTACCCATATGAATACATACATCATATGAACATTGGTACCGAAAATCTTTGGTTCTAAGATATAGGGTGCTGAAGTTCTAAGTATGGATTTTTGTTTTTCATGATTAACCTTGCATAAGCTTTCATAATGGCAAAATGTGGTCTAGCTGGTAACCCATTGCGATGCCACGCGAATCATTATTTCGAATCTAATTACACCAAAAGAAACGTCTCGATACCGTTAACAAAATTACTATGTCTCATTGTAATTGGAAAACAGAATTTGTAGTAAATGATGGAAAAACCATTTTTTATTGAAACTTCTACACCCTGTCCGAGACCAAAATAATCACCTCTCGAAGTTACATAAATAACACCCTGTATGTATCTCATCATGAGTGAATGAATAATGGAACAATTATCAATAATCCGATCACTTTTATTCATCTACAGGTAGATTTACAGCTTGCTTTAAAATTATGCATCCATGCATCATATTATATGAAAGTTTCCCATTATCTTGTGTGACCTTGTGTTTTCAAGTTTATTATTTTTATAACTGTTGAACATAACCCACTTGTAATTAATTACATACTCATTCTGCTTTTACTCATGCAATCAATAATAATTAGTTGGATATCTTACAGTGTGTCATGCTTCAAGTGTATAACCACGCACGATTCAATTTTTTTTTATGTTTTCAAATGTTCTATTCAAAAAATCTTTATTCGTGCTTTCATGGCATTCTGAGTTGGAAATAACGTTTAAAAAATATTTCAATACTTACGTTCTTTCCCTATCCTCCCATTTAACACAATGTTCTTTGAGATAGAGAGTCCCTTCTATGGACGTATAAAACGCTTCAAGAGAAAAAAATGTTAGGCATTATTTTGTGGTGAGTACATATTGCTGCATCCCACATGAACCAGACATGGTAAAATGAATTTTGTAGAAACAATTTTTGTTTCCATGACATCTCAATCCTCCGGAAATGTTTTCATGAGAACAATCTGAATGGGTTTCAGCAAGTTTCAAAAATTTTACATTTTCCAAAAACACCTTCTAATGCTGAAACGGTGATAGATATCGATATCAGGTTTGCTCTTGATTCATGGATGGGTCTTTTTGAGTGGTATATTTTGAAAAAAAACATTTCTGTGAATCGTTCATGAATACGAGGGTAGTCAAACCTAAAGCGGGGCACACCGTATATATAGATAGGTTATATTATTCTTGTTTCAGATGGTCCAGATGGATTAACTCTGCATTGTTTCCCTAGTATTTCTATCAGTCATTAATAACCTTAGATCCTTCAGAAAAGCAAAAACACCTATATTCAGCAGAACGAATTTTTTGGGATACGAAATTGAAACACTAAAATGATGATAACAAATGAATATATATGACTCGTGCACAGCTGCTCAATGACATGACTTGTAGATAATTTAACCATTTTCCAGTTTACTTTGTTTCAAAATGATGTTCGTTACAGAGTGAGCTGAAGTCGATGTATCAGTTCTGCTATAAAAGAAAAGGAACGAAGAAAGAAACAATCTGAATGAGATTTAGTAAGCTCCATTGCCTTCCAAATTTTTTTTGCCATATTTGGAAACTGAAGTAATGACGTCATGAATTTTTTTTCTGGGAAGATACCTATGTTTTGGCATAACTCAAAATGTGGTAATTTTTTCAAACAAAGCATATACTTAGAACAAAAAAATCCCTTAACATCTCGGGTGCTGCGCCTCGTTAAAAAAATATTTCTCTCACCAAAGTAGCATTTCGCGCACTAGATGATGAAAAAAAGTTGAATTTAATGTACTGTGAGTAGGTATACATAACAATATGTGAATGTGAAATCGAAAAATCATGAAAATATAAGAATAAAAATTTGGAATTTTTGCAATTCTGGTATTTCTCGAATCGACAATTATCTATCATTCTCCTATTCCAAGAGGAGTTCCAAACCCGCCTATAATTTCAAAATGATAACATATCTTATCAGACACGAGGTGGAAATAAAGACTACACAAAAGAAGTAAACTATTAGTAATCTTTGGTGGTAACATTAACAAATAAAATTATAATGCAAATACTGTGAACTGGAGTTGAATTGATATTTATTCAGTCTCAATTTGTGATATCGTTGATAACAACTTCCATCTTCCTGCAATCGCGAAAGAGATAGAAAACCGTTATTGGAGACCTATTATATCTATACAAACATTCGTCCTTGAAATAAATCATTCTGGTCAGAGAGATAAAATTCAAAAATCAATTTATGAATTCCAATATCGCTCAGTCCTAGTTGTAATTCTTCATTGTTTCTGTTTCAGACCTGTTTTGCCTTCGGTCAAACCCGGATATCTGGGCGATCTCCTCCCGAAGGAACCCCCACAGACAGGCGAATCATGGCAGGACGTGCTACAGGACGTCGACAGGATCATAATGCCAGGACTCACGCACTGGCACTCCCCCAGGTTCCACGCCTACTACCCTACAGCCCATTCCTTCCCAGCGGTGGTAGGGGAGATGCTCAGCGCTGGATTCGGCTGTGTGGGATTGAGTTGGGTAGGTATACGAACATTATGGCACTCGAAACTTTTTTTCGTTCTGGTTCCCATGGAAAGGGATATCCTGTGATGTTCAGAGAACATCATGAGAACCAAGAGAAATAAAGTAGGAATTGGTGTTCTACTTGAATTTCTGGAGGTTATATGCCTCGGGGAACACCTCCTTTGGCAATGTATTCCAAAGCCTCGCTGTTCGTTGGATGAACGAGTCTTTGGAAAGAGATGTTCTGTAGGTCTCCAAAGTGACCATGTAGGGGTGCGAAGCCTCAACTCAACAACTGTTGATATTTCAGAAAAGCATCGTCCATGAAAATATCTATAAAATAGGGCCAGATCGCCAACTATTCTACGGTGTTCCAGAGAAGCGAGTGAGTTTGTGAGCGATGCATCACCCACGAGACGAATTGCCCTTTTTTGGACAGAATCCAACAGTTTCAGGGTATCTTTGGGTGCTGCACTCCATATGAATAGCTAGGAAGTATAGTATCACGGATGATGGAAAAATAGAACAGAAATTAGCTAATGGAGCAAGGAAATCAAACAAGATATATTATTCATTGAATAAGATATTAGGAAAAACAGAATTGACGCAAGAAGCCAAACTAAAAGTATATAATTGTTATACCAACCATACTATACACTAGTGAGAATTGGACGAAACAATATGAACACGAGAGTAAAATAAATGCAATGGAGATGAGATACCTAAGAAAGATAGATGAAAAGACGAAGCTGGCCCAAAAATATGAAACGAAGCAATAAGTGAAAATCTGAAGCTGCAATCAATAACCAACAAGATAACAAAAAGACAATTGAATTGGTATGGACACATGATGAGGATGGAACCAGATAGAATAACGAAGAAGATATACGAAGCACGAAGCATAACAGAGAAGAAGAAGGGAAGACCACGGAAGAAATGGATACAACAAATAACAGAGGCAGGAAGAAAAAGAGAAAAGTCGTTGAGAGAGATGAAGATACTGATAGAAAATAGGAAATCATGGAAACAATGGGTAAACGACACAACAGAAAATCAGGACAATTCCCACGCCCAAGAGGGTGAATGGAAGGGGAGAAAGAAATTAAGAAAGAAACTGAAAATGAAATAATTGATAACACTCATGGATTGGTTGGAAAAATTGTGAAATAAATTAAATCTGATGAGAAGATGAAGAATTATGACCTATCGCAAATATGTAACAGGGACAATTGAACAACCACTAGGACAACACTAAATAGCGAAAGAATATTCAGCGATAAATGAGGAACAGATGGAAAAATGGCTATGCCAAAATAGTGACATTTCGTTTCGCTTGTTTCAATAGTATTTTTTCTCGCTATTTTGTTTTTGGTACTGTTTGGTATCGCTATTTTTTATGTTGTAAATTGTCCTAGAACTAAACATTCCTGAAAGCATGATTCATCAGGAAAACTGTTTTGGAGTTCGTTCTCAAATATTTATCAACAAACTGACTGGATCACGAAAACACACGCAAATATGTGCCTCCTACAGAATTTTCATTTTCCATTCTCTCTTTTTGGATATTCAACAGATATAATTCAATGTTCGACGTGGCAAATAGCCAGGAAAGTAGTTGTTTTCTGTTGAATATTCACAATGATATTATATGCATATCTTCATATGAAGGAGAATGCAAATTCTCTACTTCAGAAGATTTTGTTTCCAAATTCTTATCGTGTAATCAATAGATGTAATACAATATTCGTCGTGGCATATAGCCAGGAAAGTAGTTGTTTTCTGTTGAATAAACCAAGAAAGAATTAATATTTTCATCATATGGAGAATGCGAATTCTCAATGTATTTCTTTATTCATATATCCATTTTTTTTGTTCATGAATATATCTGAGAATATTCCTTTTCAATGCTTCATTTTAAGTTGAGAAACCTGATATTTATCGCTTGTGACCTGAAAAATGAATCCATTGAATCATCAACCAATTTCGTATTCTAGGCTGAAAAATGCTGAGCTAGTTATAGAGAAAAGTTGACATCATAAAATGGATTTGAAGCTGAGGGGTTTCATTTGGATCATTTGGCGAAGGAGTTAGATTAGGATTAGAATTTCCTTTATTTTTGTTTTATTGATTCAGCTGTTACCTGACGGAAATTGATAGTGATTGAGAAAACTTGAATTACTATAAGTTTCTACAGAATTCTCAGAAACATGACATTTCGCCAACATAGTAGCTTCCCCAGGTGAATATTAATGAATAATAAACCATAGGTTTGTGAAGATATTACAATTCTATAAGATGAATATTCGAATTTTATAAATTGCAGCCTATACAAAAATTCTAAGCATTATTATATGGTTGTTTCCCGTTTTCGTATACTTCTGAAATATGATCCTTGCAAATATTTTTAATACCAGAGTGGATATTATGTGCAAGAAATACATCACATTCATCGTTCATTTCAGATTGCTAGTCCTGCCTACACAGAATTGGAAGTGGTTATGATGAATTGGCTCGGAAAGCTGCTAGATTTACCAGAGGAGTTTCTGAATTGTTCAGAAGGTCCTGGAGGAGGGATAATACAGGTAATCCTCGGAAGAGTAAGGAATTCTGAATAGAAAACAAAATATGACTATCCAAGACGTGGGATATGATTTTTTCGAATGCCATTTTGAATTTGTAGTTGAAAAGTATAATACTACTTTTCAACTACGAATTTGTACTGATTATTCCCAAATTGAAAATGATCAATTTCGGAATGATACCTTCCCAATTTTCCATAATCGATTGAGTACATTCAGATTCAGAAAAAGAACTTCAAGATCAGATTCACAAGTAACAGTATTCAGAGAAGGATCGATCTCAAATCAATACTAATAATGTTTGAATCATTTGATTATTCATGAATATATGACGTATTTGCAACACAATCATGTGACTGATTGTTGAATCATATTCTAATGGAAATTCAACTCTAACTCTTTCCGTAATCAGGAGTATACTTCGGACCCAATTAAGAATGGTTCTTCTGGAATGATATTCAATTTCCTATTTCAATATTTCAATTCTCATACTGCAAGTGCTGAATGGTAACTTCTAGTGGTAGTAGTAGTATTGTGGGGAGGCTGTAGCCAGGCAAGTAGGCCCCCATGGGCCCTTTTTGCCAACCCCTGCTCTCCACATATCTACACATCCCTCTTTTAGTTGTCCTGTTCGAACCTTCCCGTCCTTCTGATGAAGGTCAGGATGTCCGTCCACTCTAATTCGACCAAATCTTCCTGTTGTAGTTTATCTACTCCAAAGATTTCGAATCTCATCCTTCCATACGCCTCACACTCTCCGAGGAAGTGAAGTGATGTCTCCTCATCTTCTCCGCATTCACGGCAAGTGGGACTATCTTCCACACCTATGAGTGATAGGTGTCTGCGTAACCTGTTATGCCCTGTCAGTATCCCTGTGAGAAGGCGCAGGACTTGGCGATCCCTGCCCAGCAGCCAAGCCGCCCTTGGCTTGCTTGGACCGGCCACCAGGTCTCTCGATTGCCTGCAGCCGCCTTTACGCCTCCAATACACTTCTAGTGCCTCGTCCGCCCATTTGTTAAGGGCAGACGAAGTTTGGCTTCTTGTTATGCCCAGTGCAGGCTCCGGTCCCCAGAACGGTGTCGCGGATCCGATTCTAGCCAGCTCGTCGGCCACCTCGTTCCCTGTGCCCCGGAACCCATACTAGTTCGACTTCCTTCTGTTCAGCTAGTTTCTCAAGAGCATCGCCACATTCCTGCACCAAAGCTGAGCTTGGTTTAGGATGGCAGACAGCCCTGAGAGCCGCCTGACTATCCGAGCAGATGTAAATCTTCTGCTCTGGTCCCTCTTTCACCTCATGCCTCTCCGCTACTGCCAGAATGGCAAAGACCTCGGCCTGGAAAACTGTGGTATACTTTCCAAGAGCGTAGCTCTCCCTTATGCCTAATCCTTCTAGGTAAATTCCTGCGCCTGGTAACTTCTAACTAGATATGATCAAGATTTGATGTGTAAGACCGAATAATTGATATTTTCAGGGATCAGCAAGCGAGGTGACCTTCATAGGCTTACTAGCAGCCAAAGAAAAGAAAGTCAAAGCCCTCATGGAGCTCAACCCAGACCTCAAGGAATCCGACATCAAGGGAAAACTAGTAGCGTACGCCTCCGATCAATCCAACTCCTCAGTAGAAAAAGCCGGCCTGCTGGGTTCCATGCCCATGAGACTGCTGCCAGCCAACGCAGAAGGAAAGCTCACAGCCTCAACTCTCCTAGAAGCGATTCGCCAAGACAAGAACAACGGTCTGATACCTTGTTATGTAGTGGCCTGCCTGGGAACCACTCCCACTTGCGCTTTTGATGATCTGGAAGAATTAGGCCCCATCTGCAACAAAGAAGAGATCTGGCTTCATGTAGACGCTGCCTATGCCGGTTCAGCCTTTGCGTGCCCCGAGTACCGATATCTGATGAAGGGTGTGGAATTCTCAGACTCGTTCAACTTCAACCCCCACAAATGGATGCTGGTGAACTTCGATTGCTCCGCTATGTGGGTGAAGAACGCGAAATACCTAGTGGAAGCGTTCAATGTCCAGAGGATTTACCTCAAAGACCAACACAAGGGCTTGGCTCCTGAATACCGACACTGGCAGATATCGCTCGGCAGGAGATTCAGAGCCCTTAAGCTCTGGTTCGTCCTGAAGATATACGGGGTTGAAGGGATCCAAAAGCACATACGTCACCAAGTCGACCTGGCAAAGTATTTCGAGGAACTGGTAGGGAGAGACAAGAGGTTCGAGGTGTGCACTTCAAGTATGGGGCTTGTTACGTTCAGGTTGAGAGGAAACGATAGTCTGACTCAACAGCTGCTTGAAAAGGTTGATGATAGAAAACATATTTTCGTTGTGGCAGGACGATCAGATGGTAAATTCGTGATCAGATTCGCTGTTTGTAGCCGTTTGACAGAAAAGAGGGATGTTGATTTCTCTTGGGAGGAGTTGTTGTCGCAAGCTGAGGAGATTGTTCCTTCAAAGAACAAGATCAATACTGAACTGAGTGATAAGAGGAGTATTGCTTCTATAGAGTTGACGGATGCCGCTAGAGAGAAAATACGAATGGAGAAGTCCAAGTAGTGTTTAGGTCAAATTTTATGTAAGATATCATGTAGTATAATTTTTCCCTTATTTATTATTAAGATTTCTGAAGTTTTTGAATAAAGCTATATTTTGTGTTATCAAACTGGTCTTAGATATGTTGATTTAGATATTCAAGTTCTTATTGCATTATTGGATCCATACCGAATAATTTGATATTGACGTACCAAGAAAATATCAGTACTAGCATGAGGCAAATCAATAGGAAAAGAGCATGTACCAATAGGTTCGTACCAATCCATACCAAAGTATTCGCAATATTGTATACACGTTCATCGACAATTCATGGCTCCGAATTTTTTATTTTTTTTTTTTTTTTTTTATCGATTGGAGCGCACGAAAGGGAATCCCTATAAGGGATTACAAAGGCAGGTATATACATATAATGAGTGAGTGGAATTACATGAAAAATGTTGCATAATTGTTAAAATATTTCGATAGAAGATATATGACATGAAAAATTAGGCATAGATATCGAGATATCAATAAAAATAATGGAGTAATTAAAATTTGTGGAGATGTCGATGTCGATGTTCCTTCCTTCCTGTGGTTAATTTTATTATAGTTGTTCTTTTGTTTATCGCACATTCAAATAAATTGTATCTGTTTCTGTTCAAATTTCTCCCCATGATCATCAAATAATTTTCTATCCTCATAACCCTCAAACATTGATGAATGCTGTCAGCCTGTCACATTTTTTAACAACTTTCTCAAGCTCGATGCTTATAGGCAACTGAACTGACCGACGCCGTGTAACTAGCTTTCGAAATCTCTTTGTACCAACAATTATCAATGTCCCTGGGTCATTACTACTGATAATGAATTCGAAAGAACACACTATTATCTGTGGAGAAAATTTATTTAGATCTTGATTGCTTCTTGCTATACAGGTCTGGCATTGCTCAAACACAACTGAATTAATTTCTTTTTCACTAACATAATCATGTACATTCGTTTTTTCCATATTTCAAATGAATGCGTGTGATTTCATTTGGTGGTGTTGAATATGAAACTCGCTCTGTGCGGACAGGGGAACTTGTGTAGTCAAAACGTCATATTTTTGTCTATTACGTTTTCAAACGAATGCCTGATCGAAATATATGCATCGAAATTGTATATATGCACGACCAGTGCGTAAAGTAGTCCTTTACCGCCCGGTATTGCCGGCATAAGGTGGCACTCTAGCGTATTATTCAAGTTAACGCAAAAAAATACAATCATCATCTATGAAATTGACACCTAGTTACCCCTGACCAATCACGAACAAATCAAAACCGTGTATGGAACATCAGATTTAGGGCTAATATAATTCTTTCATCGTATTTAATTCTCCCATGTGGATAAACAATGTTTCTGATGTTGAAATTACCCCCTGAAAAAAATGAAATGAAGAGAATGAATAAAAATTGTGTAGGTATATCATCATCCACGATTGATTGGTGATAATAATTGATTCACGTATTATAATATATGATGATTTTGAAATTGCGAAGCTATAAAGTACTTATATCAAACAAGATTGAAACATAAAATTGAATATCGATGTATGAATTTGGTGCACAGAAAAAAATTGAGTAGATATCTTGATAGATGGCGACACTATCGCTCCTTCAACGCTCGTTTCTTGACAGCCTTCAAATAATATCAGCTCAGAGATGTTTTGTGAAGTACCAACTCTCACTACAATGGACCATTTCATACACTGAAACTTATACGGTTATAAATACAATCTGATTTATTTCACAATTTACAAAAAATCTATTATACAATACGCCAAATGAGTATTGGTACAAGTAATAGTGATTCCTATTCACTAGTTAATATCTTGAAGTGAAAATTGGGTTTTGCCTTCATTCGAAATCCCCAATAATCACATTTGAGTAACTATAATGAACAAATTTCATAGTTTCCTCATCAACATGTTATAAAAATTTTCAAATCAGCGCCCTACTATATACCTATATCCGTTAACGTCAATCGTGGGTATTTCCAACAATTAAAATTGCATTAATATTCAGAATGAAATTTTTGAACGATTTCTTGGATTCATTTGATTCATATACACTCGTGATACCAGTGGAACAAGGAATTCTGACTGCTAACTGTCGTATCTGCGCATCATTGGTCACAATGAATCACGTGAAACATTATGAACGCATGTGCGCCTTCGAATGATTCTGAAAAACATCCTCATTAGTTTTATTTTATGTTCTGGTTCCCACGGGATATCCTGTAATGTTCAGAGAACATCGTGAGAACCAAGGGAAATGTGGTAGGAATTTATGTTCTTCTTAAATTTCTGGAGGTTATATGCCTCGGGGAACAGCTCCCTTGGCAATGTGTTTCAGGGCCTCGCTGTTCGTTGGATGAACGAGTCTTTGGAAAGAGATGTTCTGCAGGTCTCCAAAGTGACCACGAAGGGGTGCGAAGCCTCAACTCGACGGGTCAATCTCGCAGGGACTGCCAAGGGAGGAACAATTGTTGATATTTCAGAAGAACATAGTCCATGAAAATATCTATAAAATAGAGCCAGATCGCCACCTTTTCTTCGGTGTTTCAGAGGAGTGAGTGAGTTTGTGAGCGAGGCATCGCCCACGAGACGAATTGCCCTTTTTTCGACAGAATCCAACAGTTTCAGGGTATGTTGGGTGCAGCACTCCAAATATGGGAACAGTATTCTAGAACATGTCGGGCCTGTGCCTAATAGATCATAAGCAGCTGACTGGAAGTGAAATAGCTCCTGGCCCGAAACAGAGAACCAAGTTGTTGGGATGCAATTTTAGCAATTGATCTCACGTGATTTTCCCAAGAAAGGTTATTGCTGATAGTTATACCAAGCATCAAAATGGATGTCTTCAAAGGTTTGGTTACTTTCGTCACTGCGCATGCGGTCTTATTGTTTACCTCTTGTAAATATTGAAATATAGCCAATCTATGTTGATGATGTCTGATTCTGGAGATGAGCAAGAATGGCTTGTCATTTGACAGTGACAGATGGGTAAAGAATGGTGAATGGTGAAGTACGGTGAAGCACAGAGGCTTCAAGCACTAACCAGAAAGAATGCGTTTCTGCCTATTCTTCTTGCTCACAAGTTCAAGGCTCTTTCGTTGGAAAAAGTGAATCATAAATTTCTTTCGAAAATAAGTCATACAAAAATGTATTCACAACAATTATTCAGTTGTTTTTGAGATATTCCTGGAAAACGATTTTTATTCTACAATTTTAACACTGTATCTCCCAAGCTGTATAACCACTCATGTTCCTACCGAATTCTCCATCAAATCACGATGGTATTTTCTTGTGAAGCGAATTCATATACCCTGCAGATAAAATTCGTAGTAAGTACGTCTCTGTCTTTATCAAAATATAATAACTTGACCAAGATAATATAAAGTGGTACAAAATTATTTGATTCTCTGTTTGGTTCACTTCCGTTGTTTAGAAAGTGCATTATTATTACCCATTAGTTTTTTCGTAAATCATTTCAATAATAGTTCAACATACCTACTAGTTTTGCGATGGATACTCAGGAATTTCGTGAATTTGGTAAAGCGGCTGTTGACTATATAGCTGATTATTTCGAAACGCTGAGAGAAAGGTAAAGACATTAATAACTAATCGACTCATAACATCAGTTTGATAATTTAAAGCGCGAGGAATGCATGTACAGGGCGATCTACCTCAAATTCCCCCTTGTGACTTCTTGTTCATTAAGATATTCGAACAAAATCTCTTGGACAAACAACAAATAAGTTCGACAGAGAAATATGTTGAAGCAACATCAATATTTATTGAATTTTCAACAGGAAATATTGTTATATAGAACCGATCATTTTGTTGAACACAACCATCAACAGATATTTTGCATGAATCAAATATTTTGTTGATTGATCATTTAGTTGCATTCCTTTCCATCTTCCATGAGCTTGCCTCACTTGCCTCGATTGAGGTGAAAACATTCCTATCACGGGAGATGGGGAACTGAAAACTACCGAGAAACTGTATTTATTACTAGACATACCATGCTACAACTGAGACTGTTTTTTAGAGGCATCATTTCAGTGAATACACTAGAGGGAGTCAAGAAACTCAGACAAAATTTCGAAAATTCGCCGTTGGCAAAATTTTTTCGGGGTTCGAGGTCATATGTTTTCAGATTGAAAATTTGATTTCTTGCAGAGTGATAATAACTCCATCAGTGAATACCGGGGGAGGGTCCAGAAAATCTATCTCATCTCCTTAGTTTGTTGTAATTTATTGATATAAGACAGATGATCTGAAAATAAGAACAATAAGGAGAGCAAGTGAAATATGTCATCTCTTATTTCAGGTGTATTCAGGTTCATGTTTATCTATTTCACTTCCAGTCAGCTGCTTATAATCTATGAGGCACAGATTTGACCTGTCCTGGAATACTGTTTCCATATTTGGAGTGCAGCACCCAAACATACTCTGAACCTGTTGGATTCTGTCCAAAAAAGTGCAATTCGTCTCGTGGGTGATGCCTCGCTCACAAGCTCACTCACTCCTCTAGAACACCGTAGAAAAGTTGTCGATCTGGCTCTATTTTATAGATATTTCCATGGACGATGTTCTCCTGAAATATCAAAAAGTGTTCCTCCCTTGGCAGCCCCGCGAGATTAACCCGTCGAGTGGAGGCTTCGCACCTCTTCGTGGTCACTTTGGAGACCTACAGAATATCTCTTTCCAAAGACTCGTTCATGCAACTATAACAACGAGGCTGTGGAAAACATTGCCAAGGGAGGTGTTCCCCAAGGCATATAACCTCCAGAAATCCAAGAAGAACACCAATTCCTACCTTATTTCCCTTGGTTCTCACGATGTTCTCTGAACATTACAGGATATCCGTTTTCGTGTAAAAAAAGTATGATATATTTTTTTCAATTACTGTCGCTCTTCAAGTAGTTCAAGTACTGGTGCAATATCATGTGTCTGTAGTGGGATCAATTTTTTTTAGAAAATCAGGGAAGGCAATGGTCCTCACCCTGCCTCTCCCCCAAATGACGCTAATGTGGTTTATACAGGGTGTTCCTACCGGGAACTGCATCGATCAATATATAGAAAACCATAGGTGGGCCGAATTTGAAAATTTGGGAGTTTACTATTGTTGATAAGTGCTATCTGGCTGAAATATTTTGAAGATTTTGTCACCTCTGGTTGTACCGGAATTGAACCCCAACTTCGTTATTTTAAATAAGACACCCTGTAAATTATCGAGGTTTTAGATTTAACGCATGATTCTGAACATGATGTTCTATACCCAAGTCTAACTGTAATATTTTCTTCTTATTTCTGGACATGATCATTTATTTTCGATTGTATATCGATTTATTCGTAGGAGAGGACCCAGTTCAGTAGAATTTCGATATCAATTCGATTACAGTTATACAGGGCGATCATGAGAAAATGATATAGATCCGGTTGAAAAAATTATTGTGAGTCGATTTTTTCAAATGGAAACCTCCCAATTTTATATTCTCATTCGATTCGGCATCGAGAATGAAGGTAACTTTAAATGAGGTTATCTATGCCTACACTCAAAAGTTTTCGAAATATTGGCGAATTAACATGTTTCAGTTAAAAATAATTAATAGATTTAAGTAATCCCCTTTCTTCATTCGAATAATTCAAACGACCCGGCATGATTGATTACAATGTAATCTCCGTGGCAGTTGATTGTTTCCAATGCAACTGCGGGCGCCATGGTCAACTAAGAATAAGTAAACTCAAGAATACGAGATTTCCTGGAACTGAGACATGTTAATTCGCCAATATTTCGAAAACTGTTGAGTGTAGACATAGATAACCTTATTCGAAGTTATAGGAATTTTTTTGTGGCAGGTTGGGTTTTAAGGGAAGGGGGAAAGCTTCCCCCCCTGCTCTTTGCTGGGTATGCCGTTGATTCCAATTGAACATTCGTTTATGAGCAATCATCAGCTGATGGCCTAGAACATGATGACGCTTGCAACCTTTCCTATAGTATCAGCTGCGGAAGAGGATATTTCTAGTTAGTCTCAATACTTTTGAGATACAATTTTTGGGAAAATATTCAACTTTCAATATTCTTTGAAACATAAGAAACATAATACGAAACTAAATGGAATTTCAATGGAATAGTTCATCAAAATGGAATGCATTTGTCAATGTCATTGAATCAAGAGAACATTTGGATATAGTTAAAAACTGCCATACTAACTGAGACTTGTGTCACTTGGATTATGTTTCATGTTTCATCAATTATTTATAACTTGATCATTTCAATAAACAAAATGCGTTCATGAAAGCAGATAGAAGCAAAACATTATTTTTTTACTACTGCTATGAGTAGTAGCGCATTTCTCATAGCTTACTTAGTTTCAAAACCATGTATTGCTCATACTGTGAGAAATATTTTTTCTCACGGCACTTTGCCAACACCACATACATTTCCATGGAGAATCAACAAAAATCGACCAAAACTTAATTGGCTGCTGTTCAGCTTTGAATAGTTGTCACAAATGTCAGAAGAGGTTTTTCAAATTCTTTAGGGTACTTCTCATTAGTGCTTCAGATGGAAATCGCAGTTTCCCTCAAATATTATTCCAACAATTCATAATGAATGATATGATGTATATGCATATACATGTGACGATTTCGATAAATACACCTCCAGAGACATAGGTAATGGAATAAGCTGCGAAAGTTGGATTTGTTTCCGGAAATTTCTATAAAAAAGTATGGATTGACATAATTATATGGAAAATTTATCGAGTCTAAAAAAATATAGAATGCCACATTATAAAATGAATACCAATAAGTTACATTACTTGGATTCTTTGGATAAGTACAGTTGTGGAGAAAAGTACTTTTCTCACTCGTGTGTTTGCATCACTCGCCCTTCAGGCTCGTGCCACAAACTTTCGTACTCGTGAGAAATGGTGAACTTTCCTCAATATACTATTTTCGACAAACGTCAAAAACTGACAATCAATCGAGCAAACATCAATCATTACGATTTTCTTGTGATATGTGTGTGTGAATATGATGAGATCTCACATTGAAAAATACTTCTTATGAATCCATAATTATCTCTTCAAGAAGTATAATTATTTTATTTATCGATTATCGCCCAATCCAGTGCCCAATCAAAAGCCTCAACTACTTCGTGAACTACCTCAGTGAGGTGGTTTGTGTGGTTGGTTGATTATTATCACATTAAGTCATTGCTTGGAATACCCTTCGAGGAAAATTCACTGGTTGACTTATTGTAAACCCGGATTGCGTGGTTTACTTCGAGAAACAATGGGTACTGTTCCGCTCCTGCTTACAATTGGGGCAACTGGGTTCATCCTAGATAACTTAATTATGAGAACTGGTTCAGTGAATAACTTTTCAGTTGTTGATTTTCGTTGACTTGTCTACAATACTTTGAGGTATGAAATATGAAACTATACCTACCGACAAATGGACAGAAAAATTGCGCAGAAAGTGTTTTGAGCAAATTGCGAATTCCACGACGTATTTTGAAAGCAAATTCTGGGCATTGACCTCGATTATCTTGGAATTCTTGAGTATGCCGAAAATGTTGTAAGATGTCGTAACAATGATACTGATTATCATTTGTCAGTTATAACTCATCATAATAATTTATCTCAAACTTACACAACACCAAGGCTATTTAACTCTATAAGGTTGCCTCATATTGTTCTGGCCTGACGTCACTGTTTCCCCAGTCGTCTTTTGTCGAGCGGCAAAATGAAAATGGAAAACAAACAAATTTAGCATTGTACAATCCAGTGAATTTTGATAAATTTTGAGGTTTTCCAATAGGTTTTTTTATTCATGAGATAGTTTACTGTTTTCCCAAAACATGCAGCAAGTACAATAAACTGAAAACATAAATCTAGAAAAATATATGTTATGTTCCTCAGTGCTCCTGTTGTACAGAAACATTACAAAATCTCAGTCAAATTCTTATTGTAATATCACTCCATCAGGACTGATTACTGTTGGCATTTAAGGATATGGAGGTTGAGCTACTGATGAAGCATTTTTTAATGAAGAAAATGATATTGGGAAGTCTGAACCTAATGATGTAATCATGGTGGATAAGGGCATGCTGACAAGGAATGTGAAGAAAAATTCTTGAAATTGATAAGGCCATCATTTCTGAGAAAGAAGAAACAATTAATCAATCAATCGAGGATTCCCTACTGGATGAATTGAATGATTCTAACTCAATGGTTTTTCAGTATCAATTTGGGAAATATTATTGTTGGAAAATGAAATAATTAGACAATGAATCAATAATGAAGACATTATCACAAATCATTCCATTTTATTAATGCAATAAAAGTGCAACATAATGGAAATATCTTTAAGATATCTTCCGTATAAGATTAACATGAAATGTTTCATAAAATTAACTGAAATTTCTATGTAAGTTTTGGAGGAAGAAGAATTATACAAGAAAATTAGTTTTTCTGCAACCGACACAAAAGTCGTACATTTTGATACCAAAATAGCTCTTAAATTGACGTTTCTATTACTGACACAAAAATAGGTATGTTGCTAGGCAACATATTTAGTTCCTAGAAGCTAAAGTTGAATTTTAGTTCCTAGGAGCTAAAGTTGAACTTTAGCTCCTATATAGGAACTAAAAAGGATCTACTGGACGTCATCAAGAATAAACAACATTGTGACGGTTGGCTATTTGGGTTGAGATGCATATACCTGATTTGTTTCCGATTTCAGCAGATTTGGCATTTCATACCCACGCTGGAGATATAAATACACCTTATTATAGTTTAGTATTGGAATTATAAACATCTCAGTTAAGTATTTTCGTTTTTATCAGGGAAGCCTTCAAGATTCAAATACTTGCTTGATCTGTATATTTCATTCGTTATTCTCGGGATGAATAACTTGTTTTTGGATAATCACGGCAAGCAATAGTTTTTTTGTTTCAAACAACGATATTTTTTAGCTTCATTTGATTATCAAGTCAAACACAGTGTAGTATGGAGAGGAATAAATAATCACTATTATCATTGTTGATATGCTCACTAACCTAACATTTTCCACGTCTTGTTCCTATAGCTGGCACTGGCGCGGTATTTGCCATTAGAGCACCTGGTCCCTACACGAATATGTCACTCTGTGGTTGTATTTATATTGAAACTACAATTCGAACATCCTAGAAAACCTAACCTGCTGTTAATGCAGGTAGAATATTCTGACCACATGGATTATTTGTCAATAGTTGTTGCATTGCATACATATGGCACGGCATTGGTGGTTACTTCACATATTTATTTGAGTGAATTGTTTCGGTTGCAGAAAAAATAGCATGTTTCATTCGGATCAAAAGTGACTTTGTTCGACTCGCAAATTTTGCTTTCGCTCGGCTTCGCTAAACGCTCCGCCTCGCAAATGCAAAATTCGCTGGTCAAACAAAGTGTCACTTTTGATCCTAATAAAACAATCTACTATTCTTTCAAGTTCATTAGGGACATTTTAGGGCCATTATTCCCCACTGAATTTATCCATAATAAGTGTGTCTCTCTTTCAACTTCACATTTTTTATATCTCCTAACAAGAAATGGCATTGTTCCACAAAATGTTCTGAACCATTTTCTTTACCTCTGAAAATTCAAAAAAATAATTCAAGCTGAATGTTATACACATTATTCAACAAACCGCTATGTATACGGACCTCAGTAAGGACACTAAGTATTTCAATTATTTCCATGGTCTTCCTTCTTGAGAAATAATTTCATATGGAGAGAATCCTAACCATGGAAGATATTGGGACACAAATTTGTTTGCATGATTTGAAATTCAATATTATTTTCAATGAACATTTTGAAAGAGCTTCGGATTCATATTCAACTCCATGCTGAACAAAGTTATTTGTAAAATCCTTTGGAAAGAAGAAGTTGATTGTCTTTTTCCCAAGACTCCTTGCTATATGTAAAAATGAAGTAGCAAGTATAGCCTGAAATAATTGAAAATTAATGTATACAGTTGTTAAGTATGTATGTTAAGTATATCACTTTTTTCGATATAACTCAAAAACTAAAAATAATTTTAAAAATTTTCGAAGGCTCTTGATATGAGCCTCCGAATGCGCAACTTTTTCCCCATTCAACTGACTTCGTATCTCCTACCGGTTTCGAGATCCCCATACTGTTCAACCTTATCTTGGACAGACTGTACATATACACCTTGGTAGCAACGAATATTATTACCACGGGATCTATATATTACCCTTCGGCTGTGGCTTCTGGATAAAATCTTGGTCCCTGGGTAATAATGATATTCCTTGGTGTATGAATTACTATTTTTTGAGCATTGAGAGTATTTATCTCCAGAAATAAATTAGTCATTGTTCTTGTCGTAAAAGTCATGTTGGAATAAAACATAATCCCATTTGAATTCAGATCTGTACATCATTCGGTCGAACCAGGATACTTGTCCGAGCATCTCCCGAAAGAAGTCCCAAAGAAGGGAGAATCGTGGCAGACTGTCCTAAAGGACGTAGACAAATTGGTGCAGCCTGGCTTAACGCACTGGCACCATCATAATTTCCATGGATATTTCCCAGCTGCAAACTCTTATCCCGCCATTGTGGGAGAAATGATGAGTGCCGGTTTCACATCGATAGGAATCAATTGGGTGAGAAATCATTACGACTTTATTTTACTCATCTATGTAGAATGGAGTTGTGCACACTATGTAGTCGATTTCACACCACAAACCTATTTCACATTGATCATTTCGTGTATAAATACTATTTGATTCCATCATTCGTCATTCAAAATCATCGCAAATATATTTATTTCAATAATGAAATTCGCCATATATTTTTTCACACTAGAGGAGATATGATTTGGTAAACGTAAATAACAACACAGGATTGTTGGCTTTGTCTTGTCAGTATCAGAGTGTAGCACAGAATTGCCAAGTCTCTAGCCTAGCCAACATTTTTCTTTTGAAGTATGAGAAATATTTCAACAGCTGGTTGCTCGAAACAGACACAAATTAATGACTTTAATATCATGGTATCCTCTTGTTAGGTCAAATGAAATATTCAATTTGGATGTAGTTTTATTCAGAGACAGGGCTCAACAACTTCTCAATAACTTGATTGTAATTGGTGACTTGACAATTTTGCTTCAAGAAGGGAATTGAAGATTATCTGACCAATAATGAAACAGCATAAGAATTGACGTCACCACATATCCTACGTATCGAAAAACACGGCCAAATGGCGGCCATTACGAAAAGTTTGAAATGAGCTCTAGAATTCAACAACTTCGAACAACGCATATGCCACTTATTCACTACCAGTATTAGTGAATAAGTGGCATTCGGTTGAAGATGATTAGAACGATACATTGTTTTCAGATGGCAAGTCCTGTATATACCGAATTGGAAATGGCCATGATGGACTGGTTAGCACGGTTGCTCGATCTACCAGAAGTTTTTCTGAATTCTTCAGATGGTCCAGGAGGAGGAGTTTTACAAGTCAGTATACACAATGTAGTCCATGAACCGACTGCAAATTTCGAGCGTACACTATCTTCATATCGAGAATCAGTCGCGATAATTCCATGAAAATGTGCTTCCTTCGTTTAAAATATTTTCGACATTGCAGTGCTGCCGCTTCTACGCAGAAAGTAGTAGCAACTTTGATATTTCAAATAGAATGCTATGTATTTCATTGCATTTTTAGATTATCTCTGAAGAGCTGATTTGATCAATGTATCACACTTGGGGTCTAGCCGCAAAGATCACAGAGATTGATTTTTTGTGTCGAAGCTCGTAATTATTTATTATTGGTCAAAACGGCTTATATGAGGTACTTGTCCTTATTTCAACATCCGAATTACTCTCAACTGACATTTAATGGATAGATATATCTTTATTGAAATAGGGACCCCTAAAGTTCAACGAATAACATTCACATAAATAATATCAATAACACTGCACATCATTAAAATAATTACATAATGATAATAACAGCAGGCACTAATACTCATAAAAATAATGAAGGAGAGTATGAATTGAATTTGAATTTGAACAGAGAAAGGAACATGAACAAGTTTTTGAAAATTACATCGACAAAAATTTCTTGAGGTTGTTTTTGAAACTAATCAAAGAAGTTCTGTATTTTACTTGTTCAGGTTGTTTGTTGAATTCGTAGCCTTTGATGAATAATGGATTCATTGTCTGTTTAGAGTTTATTCTGGGTATATGAATATTGTTGCAGTTTCTTGTTGAGTGATTATGAACATTCCTGTTGAGAATTGAATATAATAATGATAATAATAATGTCTTTATTCAATAAAGAAAAGGCGGAATTCAGTCACCTCTTTCCAAGGAGAAAGGCAACTGCTCTTCCATTCAACCTGGGAAAACGGCAACATAGCTAGCACATTTCGAGGTAGCATGAAAGTGAGAAAATCATATACATCAATTATTCATCTACATCAGAAGATAAAATAAAAATCATACAATTCAATGAAAAAGAGTACTGACCTATAAGATAATGAAACAAAATACAGCTAATAGATACTGATAAAATAAAGTACATATTATGAATCGGTTTATTAGGATAAGGTCCAAATGACTTGGGGGATGATATCGAAGGAGGAAATCGAAAGGCAGATAGATATGGTTCAATATGTGATTACTACTTGGCGCGAGGACGACTCAACTACCTATATAGAAAAGTGAATTTACCTTCTAAAATGTATTTTCTCAGTTCTGATGTGAAAAGACGCAAATATGCATTGAAATAATTTGAAGCCATATTGTTGAATATCTCGAAGACCAAAATCATAGTGAAATGATATATTGATCAATTGGAACAGATACAGGGTGGTTCAAGAGTCAGAATTCTGATCACCCTGTATTTCATTTTACTTAGTTCTTTGGGATTTTCTCTCCTCGTTTCGTTAATCAGATGATTTGCCCCAAAATGTCACTGCGTTTGACAAATTTTTCTATCAGGGAGTCTAAAAGAAAAATCCAGTAGCTTGTCAGTGACAATTTGTTTGGAAAAATTTTTGAAGGAAAGAAATATAGATATATTGAAAAAATATCGAATTTTTACTTATCTTTGGACGTTTCGGGACCGTTTCTGCTCCCGTTCTCAACATGTGAATGCAAATTATTTTTCTTTGAAAGTTGTGCAGAAACGGTCCCGAAACGTCCAAAGATAAGTAAAAATTCGATATTTTTTCAATATATCTATATTTCTTTCCTTTAAAAAATTTTTCCAAACAAATTGTCACTGACAAGCTACTGGATTTTTCTTTTAGACTCCCTGATAGAAAAATTTGTCAAACGCAGTGACATTTTGGGGCGAATCATCTGATTTGTCCCTCTACAAATATATTGAAATAATACGAATACTTTTATTTTATAGAAACGAGGAGAGAAAATCCCAAAGAACTAAGTAAAATGAATGTACCACCTCCTCGATTAACCTACAGACAGCACCCTGTATTTGTTCCAATCAAATGTCAGTAGATAGTAAATCGATAGTTGAGATAGGATCATGGAAGCCGTTTTCGCCGATAATGAATAGTTTCGACACAAAAGCCCTGAAGTTGAAAAATCTCGATTTTGAACACCCTGTATCTCTGTTATCATTCTCGCTAGACCCCAAGTGCGATACATCGATTAAATCAGCTCTTCAGGAAGGATTTAGAAATGCAATGAAATACAGGGTATTCGAAATAACAAAGTTGTTGCTACTTTTAATATAAACATGCACATTTTTAAACATTTTATTTCGTCGAACGGCACCTGTGCCAATCGCACTTGCCCGAGCAAAATTATTGAAGAATATGCACAAAATTTCGCTATAATTATATGCAATCCGATACCATAGCCGATACCAATTGGATGGTGGATGGATCGTTATACAGGAGAAAAATTCCCAAATAATCAAGTAAAATCAATAACTCCATCTCCGAGAAAGAACTGCAAGTCCTTTTATCTTCCATTCGACTTCGAAATTATCAGACTGACAGATATTTGACAACTTCAGAAGAATGATAAGGATGCCATGTCATTACTGTAAAAACCTTCAAATTTCACGTCGATGATCTTCTGATTTTAATACAATGTAATATCTTCTCAATATTGATTTGTATCTTTTCTTGTCACAGAAAAAATAATGTATTATAATCGGGAAAATATTAGATTTGAGCTTACCAACCTGGAGCTAAATGCTACTACTTCTGTCCTCTGTATAATGAATAACTATTATCTTCGTGTAATTGAAGGTGGATAGTCCAGATGACCACCCAGTATAATACCCAATAATCATCCTGAATACTGTTAATAGCATCAGCAATACAATTATCAAATTTCAATTCAATTGTCCATTCAAAATATTCGAAACTCAATCATGCTATGAGATTATAATTTCAGGGATCAGCAAGTGAAACCACCTTCCTCTGTCTGCTAACTTCAAGAGAGAGAAAAATACAAGAACTGCAAGCTGAAAATCCCGATCTGAAAGGCGAAACCATACTCGGAAAACTAGTAGCCTACTCTTCAGACCAATCCAATTCGTCCATTGAACGAGCAGGTCTCCTAGGATCCATCCAGATAAGGCTGTTGCCCGCTGACGAAAATGGAAAACTATCTGCCAGTACCCTTTCAGAGGCCATACACGAAGACAAATCCAAAGGCCTCATCCCCTGTTGCTTAATCGCTTGCTTCGGCACTACAGCCACCTGTAGCTTCGATGATCTGACTGAACTAGGCCCTGTGTGCGAGAGAGAGAAAATCTGGCTGCATGTGGACGCAGCCTATGCAGGCGCAGCCCTAGCCTGTCCTGAGCTGCGGCATCTGATGAAGGGCATAGAATTCTCAGACTCTTTCAACTTCAACCCGCACAAATGGCTGTTGGTGAATTACGACTGCTCGGCAATGTGGTTGAAGGATTCAAGGTGCATGCAAGAATCTTTCAACGTTGATAGAATCTACCTAGAGCACAATAAGCTGGCGAATATCCACGAGTACAGGCATTGGCAGATTCCGCTTGGTAGGAGATTCAGGGCCCTGAAGCTATGGTTCGTCTTGAGGATGTACGGAGTGGAGGGTATTCAGAAATATATCAGGGGCCATGTCGCTCAAGCGAAACTATTCGAGAAATTAGTGAGAAGTGACGATAGGTTCGAGATTGTTACGTCTGCTCTGGGGCTGGTTTGCTTCCGGATGAGCGATGGCGATATAGTGACGCAGAAGTTACTGGATAAAATCATGGAAAGGGGGAATTTGTTCTTGATGTCTGCGACTTTCAATCAGAAGAGGATGATTAGATTTCCTATCTGTAGCAGGTTTTCCGAGGCGCAGGATATCGAATATGCTTGGAGGGAAATATGTTTGGTAGCAGATTCAATTTCAACCAGTAGAAAGAGGAAAAGGATAAGCAAATACGTGATATCTAGAGAGTTTCCTTATAAAAAGGCGAGTTATTTATGATAGTGGATAATTCTCTCACGTATGGATTAGCAGACAAAACTTGAAGTTCAATCTTCATTGATGATGGATTTTATGAGTTGTAATTCCATAGGGATCGACAAACCCTGACAACGTTCATCAATCTGTTTTACATATTATTATGATGGAATTTTGACTAATTTGATTTATTGTTCATATAATCATAAAATGTGTCTTCTTCATAAATGACTATCATATTAAAATCTCAGAAATAAATAATGTAAACACAAAAACCACACAGCCACATTCCTTTCGAAAAAGCTTTTATCCTCAAATGTGAAGGTTGAAACCTAGATATCATTAGAGAAGTTGATGATACTGAGCATTCACTGACGCTAGTGTTGATTCTTCGCATAATTTCGCTAGGCCAGACACACTAAATTAACAAGGAAACAGTCCTGAGGCATTTGTCCTTGCATTAGCATGATCGATATGCGTTTATCAGCATTGTATATGGCGGCAATACTCTGAAATTTATGGGGAACGTCATTATTTTTTTATTGTGAATTGTATATGAATTATCAATTATCGTTATGTTAATTGAATGCGATGATAAAGAATGCAAATGTATGCAAAGGTATCAATTCAATTATTTTGATAAAATTATTTGAGAAAAAGAAGAGCTTGATTATGCACATGATATTATCTGATATCCTCTTGTGCTAATATATTCTCACCTGTTTTTATTTATTGCTATTTCGTAAGCTGAATCTGAGAGGTATCATTACAGCATCTTGGTCCATGCCCCTTAGCAAATTTTGTTCATAAGCAGAGAAAGTTATTATATTGGTAAGAAGAAATTTTACACTTTCAGTGTGTCGTGAAGTGTGTTACAAAATGGAGATCGAGGATTTTAGAGAGTTCGGCAAAGCCAGTGTGGATTATATAGCAAATTATATTGAGAGTATCAGAGAAAAGTAAGTAGCATCAAGATTATTAGCCTATACCATCTGACACAGGAGACATGTAGCAGCCTGTAGTTTTTTTATTTGAGAAGATAACATTTTGAAATTCACAGGGGATATATAATAAATAGTAGCGCACTTTACGAACTTAACGACAATTTTTTTCAACCACCTGTTTGACCAGAAGTGACCCAACTTTTTTTTTTCGAATGTCACCCTGTACATTTCTTCAGTCTATCTTTTTCGCCTTGAAATTCTCTATCCAACCATGTATCACAAAGTGGCATTTATTTCTCAATTCGCTGTTGAATTGCTTTTTATTCATAAAGAATAAGTTGGCTGTGACATGAATTCGATGATATATCGACTCTTGGTAGGCTTTGAAATTTAAAGATCATTAGTGGACCGATATGATTCAAAATGTTTTGATATTCTGATCACTGTCTGCAGGTTGTCAATAGCTTGTTTGAGTCAAGATGAAAACCTTCGAAAATAACTCATGACATTGAGGAATCTAAGATAGGAACATATTTTTTAGAATTCAGCTACTCGTATAGAAACTATCTGTCTTATGTTTTCGCCATATACCTATCACATGATCTTCCCATTTGGAATAATAAAACTAAAATTGCCCCTCTTATAAGATGATCCACAGGGCTATCAGTCTATTTTTTCATAATTATTTCACTTAGTAGGCGGTGTACCTACACAAAATGTTTTATGTGTTTGACAGGAAGATTATGTAGGTACATGGCGAAAATAAAAGACAGATAGTTTCTATACGAGTAGCTGAATTCGAAAAAATATGTGCCTATCTTAGATTCCTCAATATCATGAGTTATTTTCGAAGGTTTTCATCTTGACTCAAGCAAGCTATTGAAAACCTGCAGACATTAATCAGAATATCAAAACATTTTGAATAATATCGGTTAACTAATGATCTTTAAATTTCAAAGCCTACCAAGTGTCGATATATCATCGAATTCATGTCACAGCCAACTTATTCTTTTTGAATAAAAAGCAATTCAACAGCGAATTAAGAAATGAATGCCACTTTGTGATACATGGTTGAGAGGATTTTGAGGCGAAGAAGATAGACTGAAGAAATGTACAGGGTGACATTCGAAAAAAAAAGTTGGGGTCACTTCCGGTCAAACAGGTGGTTGAAAAAAATTGTCGTTGAGTTCGTTAAGTGCGCTACCATTTATTATATACCCCTTGTGAATTTCAAAATTTCATCTCTCCAAATATAAAAACTACAGGCTGCTACATGTCTCCTGTGTCACCCTGTATATCAGCCTATACAGTGTGTCGCACTTCTAATGGAAACACTCCTGTATCTTATGTAATCGTTGGGTAAGGATCCTGAAATTTGCTGTAGCGAGAAATATACCAAAAAATGCACTTTATGACCAAGTGGGGTCATCTCCAGTGATATACACTACTCACCAACAGCCATGGAACCACCTCAATTTCCGGATAATTATATTAGGAGTCAAAATAGGTTGAAAATCACTTTGGATTCGTAATCAGGACGCTCAATTCACTAACTATTCATATTTAATCTAAAAATATTTCAGTTCTGAAAAATTAATGTTTGTCCCAATCTTCATCTTCTTCTTCGTATCTTACGTAATCGTTGGGTTTTAGGATCCAGAAATTTGCTGGGAGCGAGAGATATACCAAAAATGTACTCTATGACCAACTGGGGTCATCGTCAGTGATATACCGGTTGTCAACGAATCTATTAGACAAGTGATAACTTCTAGACCATAAGGTGTATCAAAATGAGATTTGGTATAGGTAAATGGTATGTGAAGAGGAGAGTTTTCACATATTTTCCACTTTCCGGTCATACATTATTTTGACGGAAAATTGAACTAAAATTCAAAGAAAATCAAGAAAATTTCACCTTCTGCTCTTGAAGCTTATATCACTGTCATAACCTAAGTGAGTGTTTTGTTCTCCCAAGAAGACTTGATCGAATTAACTGCAAAATATTATGCATCATGCCTATCCTCGGCACACTTGACAAAAGTAAATAAATTATTATGAAGTATTTTCGTCAGTATTATTTAATTAATGTTCTTATTTGTAATCCAATGGCAAATAAATTAGTGTCGTTAGATTCGTCAAAATATCCTTTTTTCGAAAAGTGCTTGTCAAAAAATGGTAGCCATTCGAAAAATAATACTTTGACACGAAAATGTAAAAAATTTGCCAACTTGTTTTATTCATATCTATCATACTTGTCACTAAAACTTCGCGATTGTAATTTTCTGACATCACCTGAGGTTCTTAGATTAGTTTACTTCAAATCATGGCCACCTAGATGTTATTTTAAAAGTAACTTCGAAATAATTGAGTAGGCATAAAAACTTTCGAAAATGTCACATTCTGATCTAGAATTGTCTCAGAAATCCAAAATGTTACAATATACAGGGTGTTCCATTTAAAAGTTTAGAACCGGAGCCATTTCCGGTGAAACCGGAAGTGACCGGAAAGTAAAAAATATGTGAAAACTCTCCTCTCCACATACCATTCACCTATAGTTAATCTCATTCTGATACACCTAATGGTCTAGGACTTATGACTTGTCGAATAGATTCGTTGACACCCGGTATACTGCTCGAAAACAACCGTGGAACTAAACACAATTCCGGAAAATAATCCTTCGGATTCTGAAAGAGGACGTCCAATTTACTAACTTTCCATATTTTGACGCATATCATTATCACAAACGAGACTTTTCGAATTTATTCATTCATAAAGAATTTCAACGACATTTGTCATGATTTCTGATCCATTGGATCACTCCTGATAACCCATTCGACTGTACTAGTTCTGATCGTTATTTTATTATCCCTGATGAGAACTGACTTAATGATTATCAATTTCAGAACTACCATTAAGTGAATTTTTCGATTTAACAAATCTTTCCTCCTGGAATGTCCTTGGTTCTGTGGTTGCTCGCGAGCAGTGTATCATTGAAGATAATCCTACTTAAAGTTGGACCACATACTTGAATATCACTGTATGTAACGATTCGGTAACAACCTGTATAATATATCTAGTTCATTTATATTATTGAGATTTCATTGGATATTTATTCGATACATTGCCGCCATCACTGAGAGTCGAGTGTCAAAGTGGTCAATAATCTTGACCAGAATAATCCTGGATAATCTAGAAGATCCAAGAGGATCAGAGAATGTTCGAGAATGCTCTAGAATGATTCAAAATCTTCAAGAATATTCCTAAATCTCCTAGAAGGTTCTAGATCTCCAAAAGGATTCCGAAACAAAACCAATACCAATATTTGGAAAACGATTTCTAGGCCAGTACTACCTTCAGTGGAACCAGGATACTTGAGCAACGAGATACCAGAAACCGTTCCATTTTCTGGACAATCCTGGAAACACATCCTACCAGACGTGGAAAGGGTGATAGTTCCTGGACTAACGCATTGGCATTCTCCACATTTTCACGCCTATTTTCCCACGGCCAACTCTTATCCAGGAGTTGTAGCAGAATTATTCTTATCTGGATTGGGATGCTTATCCATGGATTGGGTGAGATCATTTAGATTGAATAATATTTATTTAGGACATCTACAATTTGTAAAAGGAGAAGATGTTTATGAAGTGTTTATTTGAGTTATCAACCCGCTTTTTTGCACAAGGCTTTCATATAAGTCACCTATTTTGTGTCTGATGATAGCTGTATAGTATGGAAACTTGACACAAAACAGCAAAGACTTTTTCAAACTTAAAACAAATACTAAGTGGCCAATTTTATGTCATCATTATGTCAAAATCAACGGTTGCAATGTTAAACTTAAAAACAATGAAAACTGCGTACAACACGGAAATCTCTTAGACAAACTGTATAAAACTAGTATTAGAGGTATTCAGCATGAATGGTTCGTATCATATCATTCAAATCGCACCCAGACTGTCAAAATACAATATTCGAGTGAAAATTATAACGAAACTTCCTTTTCTGAACAGTTAATCAATGACATGGGTGTACCCCAAGGATCAGTTTTAGGACCGATCCTCTTTATTGTCTATGTCAATGAGCTTCCAGCTGTTTTGCCAAAGTCATTCACTTTTTTGTATGCTGATGACTATTCTCTCCTATTCAAATCAGAAGATTTGATTCAACTGCAACAAAATATCAATTCTGATCTTGTCAGCTTGCAAAATTGGTTCAGTTCGTTATTTCTGAATGCTCATAAAACGAAAACAGTTGCTTTTCATACCGCCCAAAATACTAACACAGTAGACATTATTATCGAAATATCCGGTGTTGAGATAGAAAAGGTGGAAATGTGAAATTTCTAGGGCTTTGAATATACGGATTTTCATATTTAAAATCAAATATATTATTCGTATATCTCAAAAACTGTACATTCGGCAACGTCGAAAATATAAAATTTGAAGTCGCTGGTCCACATTAGCAAATTTTTGTGGTATCTTACGGGGTGTTAAAGATGTTTTATGTTTTCATGTTTCCATACTTTACGCGTGAACTGTATACATTTTTGTAGTCTGTACCGACTTCGTGTTTCTGTTTTTCCTTCAATAATTGGGATGATGGGAGAAAAATATCGAATATCAGTAATATCACTCAATATATCAAGTACTTTTTGCCCTAGATTTTAAAGTCGTCTGAACTTCCTTCAAATCAGGTAAACTAATTTCCATAAAAAAATCAGAAGTCAGGTTTATAACACATGAGTGTTATTCAGAATGTTATTTTCAACATTCAAGCAAACAACAAACAAGTATTCGAAAATGTTTTTGTTCTGAATGGGTTAGAATCACGATCTTTCGTAAAAACCTTTGTAACAACTACTAGCTACAAATCTGAGTCGATCGATCAATATAGCTACTCATTTGTTTTTTTCCCTTGATAAGCGATCCAATCCGGCATGTGTGGAATTAGAAGTGAGGATGATGGATTGGCTAGCAAAAATGTTAGGATTGCCAGAACATTTCTTGAATGACTCTGAAGGACCAGGAGGAGGTGTTATACAGGTAATACATTTTCATTTTCAATTCATTGGGTTATCATCCTACCTCAATGAAAGGACTCAAACAGTCGAACTTGATATAATACTTCAACCCCACTAGTAGTTAAATCAGGAGTTCAGCAAAGAAGTATTTTAGTGTCACAATTTCACTAACGCAATAAAACACTGTAACTATCACTACAATCACTACTGTGCCAGACGATACTCAGAAGTACCTCTCGTTTGAACCGTCTGAGATAGATGAAGCACGGTATGCAATCTAGATGCAATTTCCTCACGGCGTTTATTGAGAATCAATCTAACAAATCCTCAGCCATGATATTTTGCAACGATAATCATCAAGTTCACATCAGTAATAACATGACTCTTGATTGATTGTTGACTCTAACATATCACTTTGAAATTGAGAAATTCTTACTCAGCCTTAAAATTATTATATCCACAGAGAGATTTCCTTTCATTAGATTCTAAAAGAAATGTATGTGATACATTAATACTGTCGCAGTTCAATCACTGATATTCGTCGAGTTCAAAGAAACCAGAACTGTCGTTGTATTCGTATTTTATAGTATGAAATATCGCGAGGGAGTTTCTGATGAATTGAAGGAATATGAAAAATAGAAGGCTTCATCACATGGGTTGTTTTTATCACAAATTGATTCTTACCAGCGCAGCCCTATTTATTCAAAAAAGTTTTTCACTGAACGGATGTGCAAACTTCAATATGAGGCGTCAAACGATTTTAACAATTCCAAGTCATTCCAAATCGATATTTGAACGGTATTTTTCCTATAACAGTCCATCGAGTATCGTAGATCACTAACCTCATTCAAAATTGAATATAAAAGTATTCTTCTGAACACTCAATATAGCCGAAAGTTATTCTCATTTCTCTTCTTTCTCTCTCCTCCTTCACTCTTCTTTCTTTCCCAACACAATATCATTCATAACTTATCCTATTATTTATCCACTCTTTCATGTTTTTTTGTTCTTTTCTTTCATTTGCCAATGATATACTTGCCAACAATTTTTTATTTTTCGTTCGAATGGCATTGGTGCAAAATTGTTTGTTAAAAGGTATCTGTCAAAATATATCTACAATGTGAGTCCACATGTCATGATGAACACTAAATGTATTATCATCAAAAATACAGTTCTTGATCGATAGCTTAGGAGGAAAATTCAGGATCAACTCCTAGAGTTTCCTTATTATTTAGGAAAATTGTCTGTGTGTATAGTTACCATTCGGGAGTCAATAATCATTGATCATCCTATTTTTTCGTACCTTCAGTTTCTTCTCTTCCGCAATCAGAAGTTGTTGTTTATGTAGTTATTAAATGATTTGAAATACCTTCAGTAGACTTTCAAAGCCATCAAATAGTTTATTTCAGAATACAACGACCATTCATAAATCTATTTCCTTTGTCGATTATTGAATGACATACAGTAATGCTCAGATTTCCATAATGAAAACTTTCTCTAGATGTTGTACTATATTATTTAATTCGATGTATATTGTTCATCAGAATGCAGCAAGCGAATCCACTTTGGTCGGCTTACTCTCAGGGAAACAGAGAAAAGTCAAGGAAGCTCTCAACACCAACATCCATATGACTTCAGAAGAAGTACGAGGAAAACTAGTAGCATATACATCTAAAGAATCCAACTCCTCCGTAGAAAAAGCCAGCCTTCTAGCTTCAGTACGTACATGCAGCATTTCAAACTGCTTTCATAAATAATCAAATCTGCGAACGTAAAATTGCATTTTATTTGTTATAGGTTCCAATGCGTCTATTACCCACAGACACCGACTGTCGTCTTCGAGGAGAAGTTCTTAGAGAAGCAATAGACAAGGATAAAGCTGACGGATTGATACCCTGTTGTGTCGTGGCCAGCTTGGGCACTACTGGAACCTGTGCCTTCGATGATCTGGAAGAACTAGGGAAGATTTGTGAGGAAGAGAATATCTGGCTACATGTGGATGCAGCTTATGCAGGAGCAGCATTTGTTTGCCCTGAATACCGATATCTGATGAAAGGTAGGGAATAAATCATCAATCAATCATTTAAGTTCGAGTACTATTAACAGTCCTCTCATTATCAACGTTCGATAGTTATAGAAGTGGAGGATACAATTTCTGTAACTCTCTGATTGAATGAATGATATTTCTGATGATGTCTATGGCTTTCTGTCCAAACTATTTCCAGATAACCCTGCTCTAGTAAGGCAAGATGTCAATTTTTAAAAATATAGAGAGATAAATATCTGAAGGAATAGTAAATCTCAAAATCATCTCCACGACATATAAAGTTTAACATAGTTATGTTACAATTGGAGGGACATTTTTCGGGATTATGATAGGCCCATCATCAGCCAAGGTTCTATACTGAGTAACTGAGCACAAAAACTCATTGAGTAATCAAGAACTCGGCATCTAGGCGGATATATAACACAAATTACTCCTTTGCTAACCATGTTTCAAATCCACAACATAGTTTCAATATTGAAGAAAATTTTAAAGTTTCACATGTTTGTCAAAAACGACGTTCACTAAATTTACTAGAGATCTTTGGGATCAACTCCTCATTGAAGGATAATAATTCTATTTTCCTTAATGAACAGGTCAACTTTGATTGCATAAAAGTTTCCAATTCGCTAAAGTTTCTTCAAGATTCATAATCTTCCTATACTCCCTTGTTCCTCCATTGTTAATTATTTGTTTTCAACTCGTCTCATGTATGTTTGAAAAATATTGCATTTTCACCATTTCATCTGTCATCTGTCTCACCCGGACGTTTGACATTGCATTTTTCTATGTGGATTTTCCTTAAATTCTCGACCAATTTAGTACAGGCCCCTCTCAAAATGAAAATACCTGTTAAAATCAAAATATTTTTTCATGTTTCATAATTCAATTTGATAATGTATCACAAGTATTAAACAGTTTTTCCATCCTCATGTAAGTAAAATCAGCTATCTCCTTGTTCCTGTTACTAGTTTGCACTATAGTAGGACGTTATAGAACCTTAGCTGATGATAGGCTGATTATAAGCCCGAAACATGTATTCCAAATTGTAACATAACTATGTTCAACTATCAAATGTCGTGGAGATGATTTTGAAATTTACTCTTCCTTTAAACACTACTACTCCACTCTGAGCATGAGCAGTATGGAGTTCCTCATACGTTTAGATGAATATCTGTTGGTATTTTTGTCAGTTATTGTGGATAGAGATCATTCACCATAGTTCAACTTCTACGGCTTCCTGATTTCGTTGTATCAATTGTTTAATTTTCAGGTATTGAATATGTTGACTCATTCAATTTCAATCCTCACAAATGGTTTTTCACAAATTCGGATTGCTCAGCAATGTGGTTCAAAAACACCAAAGATGCAGAAGCAGCCTTCAAATTGAAAGCCGAAATACCCGAAGAACCTCTTTACGAGCCGCAGCTGGAAAACTGGCAGATTCCAACGTCCAGACGATTCAGAGCTCTGAAGCTATGGTTTGTGATGAGGCTATATGGAGTGGAAGGTATGCAGAAGTATATCCGCCATCAAGTATCACTGGCCAAATATCTGGAAAGCTTGGTGAGAAGCAATGAACAATTTGAGCAGTTGGTATCCAGCTTAGGAGTAGTTTGCTTCAGATTGAAAGGGGATGACTCCTTGACCCAAAAGCTTCTAGACAGAATTGCTGAGCGAAAGAAGCTCTTTATAATGCCCTATTACTACCGGAAGAAACTACTTGTCAGGTTCGTCATTTGTAGTAGGCTAACTGAGAAAGAAGACATAGATTTTGCGTGGAGAGAGATCACATCTATAGTCGAGGAGCTGCAGAAATCTACTAAACAGGAGAAGAGCAACGCTTTGAGTGCCCCAAACTTATTGGCTAAAGTAGCATCCACCACTTTTTCTCCAGACCTAAATGAAAAATTGAATGTTGGGTTATTCTTGTGATTATTGTTTGCATGATATTGGATATTCCATAGATCTTTATTGATAAATCAGAATTGTTATATTTTATAATTCGTATTGTTTAATGAATGTTATCATAGTTGTTACCTCAGTGAAGTAATATTATAGAAATTATTCACCATGATCTATTGAGTTAATTGAACTAATGGAGAAGAATAACATCGACGAATTTCTATCTTTCTTATTCATATCACAGACCATTCTCACTTCACATAATTACATAATATTCAAAAAAAATTACAGGAATGAAATTTATTTCCAAAATTCGATAATGACTTTTGGTGATGCACTAAAATGAATTTTTCTTATCCATTCCTATCCCTTTTTACGGCCACCCCCACCACGTTAACCGGCAGATTAATATTTTTCGGTTATCAGAAACACTTGGGGCGCATACACTATCAATGTCTGAGGCGCTCGAGTTTTTCTATGTGACTGTTTTTTTTACATTTTTGAACATCTGTACACGCTCTCCCCACCAGTGAAAGTTCATTTATATCATTTAAACTCTTTTTCATTTTTGCATCTAATCTATTTAGCCTATTTGCCTCCCCTACTATTTGTTGTGACACAAACCAACAGATTCATGAATCAAGTGAGCAATTCAATGACAATGACTTTCGAATAGCGTAAATGTACCTGTATCAAAAACGTCATTCTGAATCTTCATATTTCACCAAATCAAAATTTCAGTGCAAACAATGTTGTCCCTAGTACTAAGACCGCTGAATCATTACATCTGCAAACATCAAAGGCAAGTATCAGCAATGTGAGCATCCTAAGGCCATAACGGTTCGGGCTATTTTAGGCTTCTCAAAGATCTGATAAGGAAATACAGCAAGAAACATAATCCGCCTAAACATGCAGAGAAAACAGAATTGCAAGTATGTACCATTTCGGATTGTATGGTGGATCCTTGCAAACCAGAACCTTCAGTGGTGATTATTGGTGCTGGAATGGCAGGGCTATCAGCAGCTCAGCGACTTGTGAGATGTGGTATTAGTAATTTTACTATTCTAGAAGCTACAGACAGGTAAGTGCACGAGCATATAGTCAGATGAGTTTTTTGGCTCATCATATTCCAACTACGAAAAAGCCAAAATACTCGAAATGGAATGACATTTTGAATAAATAGATACAAGCATGTAGGCATTTCCACAAATGCTCATCAAATGATACTATTGTTGTTCATTTTATGAACATCTGTGAAAATGACTTTGAGCTTGGATCTATTTATTTCCTGAACAGTTATGTTTCTTGGGGGCAATAGATTCGACTTTTTGATTCCAGAAGAAGAGTTGAAGAATTGATTGATCCGAACTTTTTGAACTCATGGGTCGAGCATTATTAATTCACGGAAATGATATGAAAAAGAGTTGAGATCCATAAGAATTGATACTACGTTCATTAAAAATATGATGATGTGAATATATTGATTCTTTTTCTTCAATATGTCTTATTGTATCATTGTTGAACTCATTAAGTTCCGTTTCCTCCTGGAAACTCATCAGTATACAGGGTGTCTGTAAAAGGTCTTTACAAAAACATACCACTTGTTCCTTAGGCCAAAATGAGTCGATTTGAGTGAAATTACCTCAAGACAAAGTTGCATCGTTTGGGCTCCAGGGGGCATTGAAGTTACAATTTTTGAATCGTTTTTCCCATATAAATTTAAAACGACATATGCGATTTTGCTGAAATTTGGTATATTGATAGAGTTTTATGTGGCAAAAAAATGGTGTTGAAATTTTGTCCGATAATAATACATAGGCGTAGAACTTGATTTTTTAAATAATTGCACTTTCAAAAATTCTACGCCAATGGAAGAAAAGGAGTTTGAGTATAAAATTTAGATTGCGCAACTCATTAACTTTGATTGATTGGTATAAGTTGATTTCGATCAGCCTATTCAGGTATCTAGTCCACCCTGTGAATGAAACGTTTGTTGTGGGACACTTTTTTTCACATCATCAGGTCTTTGAACTGACAAGTACCACTTCAAAGTGACAATTGTCAGTTCAAACTGACAATTGTCAGTTCAAGGTGAAAATTGCTAAGTTAAAGCTGTTGGCCCTTCTACGCCTTCGTACATCCTCCATCTATTTCTCCTTTAATAAATTGCCTAATTACCTATACTTATCAACTAATGTGAAGTAATATTAGTTTTATTTTGAATCTCCGCCACCTACTAGTGACATTCTATACTAACAGTCGTGAGCAAAACGAAACAACAGATATTAAGTTTTCCTTTGAAGAAATCTGTGATCTCATGTCTCTGTATCCAGTTGGGAACCTCGACTAAAATACTACAGATGGCAGTGAAAATAAGGTGTGAATCTATATAGGTTTGAATAGTCATTGTAGGTTTGAACGGTATAGGTTTGAAAAATGGGGTGAGGGGAGGGGAAGTGGATATTCGTGACGTAACAAAATGCTAAAGATAATTTGCCAAGAATATGTCTCCAGATTATTCTTTGAAACAAGGGTGTCACCGACTGTCGATAAATTTCTCTTTCAGGATCTTCAATAGATTTTTGACCGCTATATTGGTGTCATGACACGAAGTAGATTTTCATGAAAATTGAGAAGTCAGAAATACCAGGTCGTCAATTTACATCAATGGACGCTATCAAATGTAATCTCGGAATTCCCAAAGGCGGTCCCATATGTTGAGAAAAACTCGCATTTTGAGAATTCGCGAGTTAATCTTGTGTTTTGTTGTCCGCAGACCAGGAGGCAGGATCCACTCCTGCTGGCTGGGTGACGTCATCGCCGAGATGGGAGCCCAGGGCATCGACGGCGCATGCGTGGGCAACCCCGTGTACAACTTGGCCGCCCAAGAAGGCCTCCTCAAGCCGCCCCTGAAGAGGCGCGACCCCTCGCGGGGCATCTACTGCACCAGCGACGGGCGCGTCGTGGACAGCTCGGTGTCCATGATGGCGTATCACGTGTACAAGCAGATCGAGCAGGAGGCGGAGAGTCTGTTCCATATGGGGTGCGGAAGGGAACATGGGTCCCTGCAGAATTTCCTAGGTAAAGACCATCCACAGAACTTCAGAACTATAACCCAGAGTAGAATATGGATATTGAGTTTACCAAAGCGTTTATGCGAGGGCGAATTCGAACGTAATGAGGCACAGGCGCAATAACGTTGTGTTAGGATCGTTGTTTATGATCATAGCTGTGTCATGAAACATTTTATTTTATGAAAATTCGAAAGTATAATCAATCAAGTGATTCAAATAAACATCATATTCTATTACTCAGTACAGTGCAGACTCGATAATCCGAATTCTTCAGTAGTCCGAATAAGCATTTTTAATACATTGAGTACTCTATAATCCGAATTTCATAGTACTGGATAATCCGACCCCATACCTTTAGGCCTATTTATTTCCTATAGAAATTGTGAGTGAAATGTTCAGGGATTCCCCTAATTGTTCTTTTGTTAGTATCTGGGATTCACATTACGCAAGGAAGAAAATAATATTCAGGATATTCTTGTACTTCAAAGATTAAAAGAAATGGCCTTTATAAATAATCAAAGATGTGTTAAGCAAACAAAAATTACAAATTACTTTAGAAACTAGTATTATATTTTTACTTTTATACATATTTTAGTGTTACTTTTTCGTATTTATGTTTTTTTTTGCATTTCGTAATAAAAAATTCAAAAAAAAAACTGCTTCGGTAATCCGAATTTTTTGTTAATCCGAATCGCCTTGGTTTTTATTAGTTCGGATTATCGAGTCTGCACTGTATATATTCTCTATAAGGAAAGACATCAATTCTGATGTCTAATTCTGAAAGCGATTTTCATTAAAATTTGGACTAGATACTTCCATAAAAAATCTCATCAAAATGTTACCAGTAGTTTCGACACAATCGTAAAAAATGTGTAGAAAAAAAAATGTTTTCACCACCTTGTATCTTGAAAACAGATACCGTTACGAAATTGTTTTACTGAGCAAACCCAACTTATTTTGCAGTGTTCCACCTACCCTATCAAGGGGCTCAGGTTTTTTTGAAACACCCTGTATTTGTGTTATAGTATATATACGATTTTCTGCAACGTGTAGCTTCATCCATGAACATTTGTTACATCGCTATCAAACTATACTATTAGTTCGCTTACACCTCGCCGAAGATCGCTTCATAATTTTAGATACAAATAATATGAGTAGCTAACGATATTTCAATATAGACATTACATTCACATAAAATAGCATTTGAATTCCAAAAAACGTCAATAACTTGGTAGATTTCAATGCAAACAAAACACAAGCATGCCTTTTCTCCAGAAAAGCCGATCTCACTGTGCCAAACATAAGCATGTCAGGACTAACCATACCTTTGAAGACATCCATTTCGATGCTTGGTATTACTATCAGCAATAACCTTTCTTGGGAAAATCACGTGAGATCAATCGCGAGAAGTAAATCCCAAAAACTTGGTTGTCTATTTCAGGCCAGGAGCTATTTCACTTCCAGTCAGCTGCTTATGATCTATAAGGCAGAGATCCGACCTGTCCTGGAATACTCCCATATTTGGAGTGCAGCACCCAAACATACCCTGAAACTGTTGAATTCTGTCCAAAAAAGTGCAATTCGTCTCGTGGGTGATGCCTCTCTCACAAACTCACTCACTTCTCTGGAACACCGTAGAAAAGTTGGCGATCTGGCTCTATTTTAGTCTAGTTGAGGCTTCGCACCCCTTCGTGGTCATTTTGGAGACCTGCAAAACATCTCTTTCCAACGACTCGTTCATCCGAACGAACAGCATGGCTCTGGAACACATTGACAAGAGAGGTGTTCTCCGAGGCAGTTTTCCTCCAGAAATTCAAGAAGAACACCAATTCCTACCTTATTTCCCTTGGTTCCCACGATGTTTCCTGAACATTACAGGATATCCCTCTTCGTGGGAACCAGAACATAAAAATAAAATATTGTATTTCAGAATAGTGAATTGAATGATAGAATACGTTCTCTACGAAAAATGTATTGCAAACATGATAGGAGATGACTGGTATCAAGGCTGATTTCCATCAATAAATGAATATAATAATCGATCAATAATGGATTTATGTCACTCTAGGAACGCACTGTATGGCTTCGAAAAAAAAATCTTAAAAATAATTATATAAGCTTCAACATCCAATATTTTGAATGCAGGGTGGGAGCGCTGAACACCCGATACATTCTCACATGAAATGTACTTTCTACCAACCAATCAATCTTGATGATTCTGAAATAAAAATTACGCTCATCCTTCGGATTGCACGAAAGGGAATCCCTATTATGTTCGACGAACATCGTGCATTCCTAGTGAACATAAAAAGAAATTTATTTTTTTCAAGGATTGAGAATTCAACAAGAGCTACAAAAATTCCCAGAAGATCAACGATACGACGTATCCAGAATAATGTATGGACTGACCCATAACCTGAGGAACATAATAGGAGATGACCTAACAAATGTCAGCGCTGATAATTTCGGCAGTGGCATGAGAATTCCAGGTGGACGCGTTCAACTACCACTAGGTATATCGTGTCAATATTGCAGAATGTACTGATTCTAACACGTATAGGTATTTGACAACAGGTTATGTCGGCATATTGTCTCCACTCCTGAGAGAACTACCAGAATGCAGTCTCAAGTTTGGTAAACCAGTGGGTTTGATCAGATGGGGAGCCGTCCAAAGCAGGAACAAAGGCCCAAGGGCTGTGGTGCAGTGCTGCGATGGGGAAGAACTGTCCGCAGATTACGTCATCATCACGGTATCCCTAGGTGTTCTCAAAGAACACGGGGAAAAAATGTTTTGTCCCGCACTGCCTGCCAATAAGATTGATGCCATCAAATCACTTGGTGAGTTTCAAATCATCTCCATTCAGTTTAGAGTTCTTATTTCTTTCCAATTTTTGTTTCATTTCCCAACCTATTCCTCTTCATCATTCCAGATGTGCCTCAATTATAAATCCTGTAGTTCATAATTCTTGACAAATGACACTAGACCAAAGGAGTTATGTTGTAAGTACTCAATACATGGAATCCACAATGCCAATATCTGTTGGATAGATTCACGAAAAACGAGATTGCATATTTTAATATTAGCTTCGGCTTTTCACCCGATATATATATGCCAAGCGAAGATGCCCCTTTTTCTTTTCCACATGAAAATATCCAAGACCGACCTAGTTATCAAAATGAAGTGCTAGATTTGTTTTATTGAAAAGTCGTCAATGGCACGGTCCCGCTGGGTCTCGGGTAGCCAAAGGCTCATTTGTTTGGTACACTGATTGTTAGAAAATAAGAGAAGGGGTAGGCCTTGTTGATGTACATGGATGTAGGCTATCTGAAGCCTTAGGGATCACTCAGCCACCATTTTCAGGATGAAATTCATTACATCAAGCTATGCTCTCAAAAGTGTCCAAGCAAAAGACTTAGGAGTGCCAATATTTATACCTGCCAGAGAACCACTTCAAGCAATTTTTTACACGGAAATCTACATGTGGGATTGCTTTGAAACACTGATGTAACTGGGAAGAGATAAAAGAATCACACATGTGGGTTCCAGGGCATTAAGGAATCAAAGGGAATAAGGCAGCTGATGGGCTTGTCAAAAAAGGTGGAGAGGCTGAATTCTTAGATTCTGAGCCTATTTGTGACGCAAGCAAATGTCACCTAATGGCAGAGCTCAGGAAATGGGACTGACCTAGAGAGCAACTCCAGGTCAACGACAAGCGAAAAGGTTCATCAGCCATTCACAAAACAAATCCAATAAGGAGCTGCTCTGTCTCAGAAAATTAGAGCTGAAGCTTATGACAACCACCAAAAAGTATCCAAAAGTTTGAGATACATTTTCGTCTGAACTACTTGTCCGATTTGGACGTTTTTTTTTTGTTCTGAATGACAGGTAATTCCTTTCTGAATATTGGCGTGCAAATTGTATTCTCATAATAACCTCTTTTTCATTCATACCGGGTGTAGCAATCATAGTGTGCTTTTTCATCATGGAATGTGTCATACCCTGTAGTAACAGTGTAACAGTTAATTATCAAGTTAGAATTGAAATCACACTTGACGTGTAGGTATAGGTAACAAAAGATCTTCTGAGCTGCAGTGATCCAGTGGTTTTCCTGCCTTCACGACCTATACCTACAATCTACATAGTATCTTCAAGCTTAACATTTTCTTTCCAGGATACGGATACGTAGACAAAGTATACATGGATTACGAACGTCCCTTCTGGGTGTGGTCGGATGGAACTATCAGGCTAGCCTGGTCGAAAGACGAACTAGCACACAGAACTGATTGGACTAAAGGCATAAGTACCATCGAAGAAGTGGAAGGGAGCAAGCACGTACTATGCGCGTACATTTCTGGACCAGAAGCAGTGGTGATGGAGCACGCTTCAGATGAAGAGGTAGCCGAAGGAATAACCAAGGTAAGATTTATATCGATTTCTTCAATAAATTATACATAGTAGATGAATAGATAGATAAGATTCCTGGGCGAGTCGTATGTGAGTCCATACACAATGAGGAAGTTTTCTCCAGATGGATTTCATAAAATAGGTTCGGAACTCTCCAGTTTCATGTCCACGCTGTACAGAATGGCGACCGATGAAGTCCAAGCCGTTTTCATTTTCGAATTAGAGCAATTTATAATTTTTGGGACGGCAAACTGTGACGTACAATCTGATGGTGAGGAATATAGCTAGCAAATATCTAACGAATAGCTAACGAATGAAAAATGATTGAGAAAAATAGATGAAGAAATAAAACTGGTAAACAAAAACATACACAACCACAAATGAACTCAGAGCAGGAATGCAGAAGGTAGTTGGCTTCATTCTGACATGATATGGTTTCGTTCTTTATACATTGAAGTATCTCGAATAGAGCTCGATCCTAAATTAAAATATCATTGAATCAATGAATCACTATCAGAACAGAATGATAAGCCGACACCCATGGCTCCTTCCTCTTGTTGTACCTGTCAGTATTTTGAGTGGTGTGGACGGACTCGAAGTATTAGGCGCTGTTGCAAGATATAATCTGCAACTTTCCTAGAAAATATATCCGTTATATTAAGGAACAAATTCATTAGCAAAAAAATTACTGACAAGTTATGAATAACATATTGTTATATAACGATAGTTAGAAATTATAGATACCATCGCAAAATATCATAATTTATCTTCATCAGTAATCAACTTCATTCAGCCAATGAGAGATTTATGGGAATTATACATAATACTTGACGAAGTAGGATTGAAGTACCTATTATATCCCATTGCTGTTATGATGTAGTTATTATGCATTCAAAGACCAATTTCCAGAAACCTAGACATATTGATGATGTCGGCGACATCGTACTGGCACAGGGAATCGTATTTTAACTCTGTGTGAATGTGGATTTTCAGAAAGTACGTCATGGGAATGGTGGAGGAGCCAAGTTCCTCTTCTAGATATGTTTTTTTCTGAAGTGAAATTTGATCTTACGAAAAAAAGAAGCAATACGTATATATAAATTTTTTTCTGTGACAGGAAAAAAGTTTGGCATTTCATCTCTGTTGGCAGGTTATAAAATGTCACTTTTCATAAATTAGTAAGTACTTTTTTCCCGGATATATATCACATATATATACACTGTTGATGGCTTTTGTTGTGCTATAGTTCCGAAAGATCATCTACGAGAAAGAACTGCAAGTCCTTTTATCTTCCATTCGACTTCGCGGTTACTTATATTACTAAACAACCACTAAATTCGCAATTTTTTGAAATCAAATCACATAATTAGACTGACAGAAGTGACATCAGATATTTGATTACTTCAAAAGAATGATAAAGATGCCTAGAACGTAGGTGTCCCTACTGTTAAAAACTTAATTTCACGTCGATAATTTTCAGATTTCAAAATAATGTAATATCTTCTCAATATTGATTCGTCCTTTCTTCTGTCACAGAAAAAAATAGTGTATTATACACGGGAAAAATATTAGATTTTAGCTCACGGTTTTTTTCTTCCTCCGCTACGCGTCGGGAGACAACACAACCTGGAGCTAAAATCTACTACTTTTTTCCCTTGTATAATAAATAACTATTCTACAAACTCCACAGTGAGATAAAAACCTCAATATAGAAAACTTCCCCATTCTATATGGATAATGAATGAAAATCGAATCTCATGAAACCCGTTTCAGGTATTGAGGCAATTCACCGGAGACGCCTCCCTACCCTACCCCTCGACGGTCTTCAGGTCCAAATGGGGCTCCGACCCCTACTTCTGCGGCTCCTACAGCTACATGAACCTCGCCTCCAACGTGGGCCACCAGTGCGACCTGAGCTGCCCCGTCCCTGGCACTTGCGACCCTGTGCCCCCCATCCTGCTGTTCGCCGGCGAGGCTACTTGCGCGGGGCACTACTCCACGGTGCACGGGGCTAGGTTGAGTGGAATCAGGGAGGCCGAGAGGGTGCTGCAGCTGACCAGGAAGTACGGTGGACCGCCGCCAAGGGATTGCGCTTGATATATACATTTCGATAATTTAAGTCACTATTATTTTTGTCATGTATAGAACGCTCGTATCTCATACCTATGCTATATTTACAATAAATGAATTCTACTCATCCTGATGCGTTCTCTGGGGAAGACAAGGAGTGAGTCACACCGTCGGTATCACGGAGGAAATGTCCTCTTACTGGAGAGCAACTCCAAGTCAACCACAAACAGAAAGCCAGGAAGGCTCATCAACCATTTGCAGATACAAAAAGTTTATCAGAGCTAAACCACAGTTAGGGCTCACTGCAGGTAGGGTCCCATGATGCAAACTGACGTATTTGTCTGACAGGTATTTGTCTAACAGGGTACGGACAGCATATACGTATTAATAATCAATACGGATAATCTCTATCTGTTTCCATAGCGAAACATGAAGCCGATTTTTGAAGACAAATGACTATCCATAAGGAAAAGTGAGATACAATCAGACACATACTGCTTCGATTGAAAGGCTAGTAAACGTTATTGTCCACCGAAACGCATGTCTTTGATGACTACTATAATAGCGCATGGCGCATGCGTATCATGCCACCAAATCCTTATGGATATTCATTTGTTTCATATTTTTGCCTTCATCCTGGCACTCGTTATGATCCGTATTGTTTATTAATACGTATATGACGGACAGATCATAGCACCTTTCTCTCTTAATCATCTAGTGACTTTGATTTCGTGTATTGGCGTCCCTGACATGACATTGCTGTCACGTCACATTCATAGGCGGCGTTAAAAGAGATCTTACAAAATTTTAAGTTCATACTTGATCTTAAAACGACATTATTCAATTCTGTTTTGGAAGGATGGTAAAATGTGTTGCGTTAGGCTGTGTCAATCAGTTGGATGGCAAATTTGAAGTAACCGAATGGGGAAAATTGGTAAATACATCAGCAACATATTCGAGGTGAAACTAATACACTCCACAAGTTTTTGAAAGCATTTTAGTAGAAACAGTTTTGATTAAAACGGGGGATTAAAAGAAGAGGCATATATGCCCTACCATTTAAAGAAGTATGCCTACATTCAGAAAATATTGAGTGTTCGTGAGAAACAGCAAAAATGATTTCCAACATGAATATATACAGCATACATGACATATGAGCACATTAGTTTAAATACCTACATACAATTTTTCACCATTTCCCAACCATAAGGCTTAGTCTAAAATCAAAATTCATTTATTGATAGGTACTACCTAAGAACAGTCCCATTTGGTAAAACGTATTAAACTTTCAGAAAAAATTACTCACTGCCTAACAAAGATTATGCTGGAGTTGAAAAATCAGAAAACTCCAGGAGAATCTGTCCGTACCCTGTTAAGATGATAAAAACGTCAATTTACATCAAGAGACCCTAACTACAGGATTTCTCACAAGTAATTACTCTGTGACGGGTTCCTGTGAGGTTCCATCCCAAAAAGATGAGCCTAGTAGAAGCTGACACATGCGCCTTTCGTAACAACATTGATGAAACTACGGAGCAGAATATTTTTCTCCATGTACTAAATCGCTGAAGGTTGAATAACCTTGAAGCGGTCCACCAATTTTCTACTAAAGTGGGAAATTGAACCGTCAAGATTAGCGTTGAAATCTTCAGAAATTCAACAGAACATAATTTGAAGTTATCGAATCGTGTTGTTATAGTGATTGATAATTGCACTGAATGCAGTAATCAAAATTCATTTGATTGGCTAATATGGTCACTTGGTCACAAATACGTAGATATGATGGGTTCAAATTACATGGAAAAAATTGCCTCTATAAGTACATTTTCAATCACCTAAACGTAGGTAATCTTGATTCATTATCGATTCATTATAGATTGAGAGCCATCTATTGAAACATAATTATTATGAACAATAATTTCATTCGTATAGGTAGTGGAGAAGTGCATTATAATACATGACTCTTAATGATTCTTGGAAAGTGCCATAAAAAATGAAACTGGACTATGATGCAGAATAAGGTGAGCACCTGATGACTATTAAAATTACAAGGGGGGAGGGGAGTCTTCATCAAGGAATTGCGCTTGATATATTTATTTCGATAATTTAGGTAAGTACATTTCTTGGTCATTTATTGGACATCCGCTTTCCATACTATAGTATATTTACAATAAATAATTTAAACTTAGCCTACGTTCATTGTCATCGTTACAATTGTCTTCAATGGCTATCTCTATACAGTGAGAATCGAGATATTTTTCAATTTAACAATGATATGGATTTCTGAATTCATTCATGACTTCTTGGAATAAGCTGAAAATATATTTTTGTTTTCTGTTCTATAACACAACGGGAAATGTTGAATTTATATGGGCTCTTATATACAAGATGTCCCATTCCAATGGAAACACCCGGAATATCTCTTGAAAGAAATGTATTATGAAGAATCATCGTGATGTCGATTATTATCATCCTGGCCCACACAGAGTAATATCCTTAACATTTCCAAATAGGATCATGGGTTGATTGATCAAATTGATAGTTCGATTTTTTGAAATTTTTTCAAATACACAAAAATTATGAGTATGACCCAGAGGAAATATCGGATCTTAAATGATGAATCGAATTTCTTGTTATTTCCAATAGTTTCAACCAGATTCCTGGTCATCAATGTTGATGTTGAGTTTTAAAATAGTTGAACTCTATATTAACTTCTCACTTCCCAACTCATGACAAAGCCACTGATGTTTAAAATTACTAATACCATGTTATATGCTCATATATTGGGCTCATTCTCATTCATGCGTGATCATAACCAACAACATATCCGAAACTGCATATATAATTCCGATTCACACTGTATATAGTTTCATAATAATATCTAACGACAATAGGTAGAATATATCATGTCATAATATAAAATAAACAGATAAATAACATAACATTTAACATTATTTTAACATCCAATTTGCAGTACAGCTAGAGATTCGCAGAGGCAAAGACCTTGATGAATTTTGGATAGTGAGACTGATGGAATTATAAGTTCCCTTTATTTCTTATAAGAGGAAGTCATTTGTGAAAATAATTAATCTCCATCGTGATATACTGTTCAGTAAAATCAGAAAAATTAAGTGATAACTGCTTGTTTTGTGTATAACTTCCAGAAATTCATCTTTCCATCTCAGCTTCACAGAACTCTAGCAGTAGCATTAATTTTCCATCTAAGAACATCGAGTTTCATGATAACAAACCATTCAATCCGCCTACTTCTTCGCCAATATTTCATCAGCAGTTTCTTTCACCTCCTTCCAAGAAACATCAATATCCGACATCTCAGTTTGCTTCGAACATATCGCCAATCTCAGGAAATAAGTGTCCCTAATCTTGGAAGGCACCAAGTGTATGACACCTTTACCGTTCAACCTCTTGAGAAACTGCTCGTTCATCTCGTTCGACCCCGTCAACCGAAAACAAACCAAGCCCATGGTGACCTCCTGAGTGATCTCGAACCTCTCGTCGGACCTCACCAGAGCCTCGAAGTGGTGAGCCATCGCGATCTGCTTGCGGATGTGCGCTTGGAGGTTCTCAATGCCGTAAAGCCTGAGCACGAACCATATCTTGAGCGCCCTGAACCGTCTGCCCAGAGGGATCTGCCAATGGCGGTAGTCAGGGGCGGAGCCTTGCTGCTCGTGCTTGAGGTAGAGGGGGTCCACGTTGAAAGCGTTGACCAGCCAAGAGGGGTCCTTGAGCCACATGGCGGAGCAGTCGAAGTTGATCAACAGCCATTTGTGGGGGTTGAAGTTGAAGGAGTCTGCTCGTTCTATGCCCTTCATCAGATATCTGAATAATGATAACTCCGATTAGGACAGTTGTGCACGAATGTGCGGACTCAAATAATATTGTATGTCAGAGCGAGAAAAGGTAACAGAGTCTAAGAGCTGACAACAAGTTGCATTGTCCGATTGATAAATCGATATTTCCTACCTTATCATACTACCAAAACATCATTAGAGAAACTGATCGGGATGTCTGGCAGGTTTTCAGTGGTGGAGGCGGCCGTGGTATGGCCGAAAAAGGTTGGAAAAGAAGATCAATGCAACGTACGATCAATAGAGCGCTGAATTTTTGTCTTCCACAAAATAGAGACTTGGGCCAATTTTATTTTCGTTTTTCGTCACTCATCAAAAATTATTTTCATATCTATAGGGTTTAGGAATTTCAAAATATCGGCTAATGTTGAGTTTTTCAAATGGGACACCTTGTTTTCAATTGCATTTTCGAATGCTCCATCCAAATTGCTACACAACTGTTTCATGTATTCTGAATTTGACTCCCCCGTTGCAAAGTTATTTTTTTGTGGAAAAACAAATTTTGTTGAGTCCTATACAAAAATGTATTGTGATTTTCATCTCGACATTGAAACGAAATAAATCCATACGAGGAGAGACCATTCGTTTCTACAAAATCACTTCGAAATATTGAACACTGTCAATAATAGTCGGAAAATCTTTTTTTTTCACGTCAACGGTTTCAGATCCAAATTAACTAAAATTTTCATTATTGTATATTATGGATTCTGCCGTTTTCGATATAAATTGATTTTTTTTTCATCAAATTCAAAATATATCAAATCCGAAAAAAATGAACACATTCTTTCCGAAGTACTTTTATAATTTGGCAATGTATTAGAATGCAAATAAGATGAAGGTCAAAAGTGATATGAACAATTCCTTCAAGAATATTGTTGTTCCTACTCAATTCCTCTCTATCAAGAATGCTTTATGATGAAATACTGAACATGCCGAAGATTCAAAAACCTTCTTGGAGTACATATGGTGAAGCTATATCAACTTGAGCCAAGCATGACTAGGTACACTTCAGGCCAATCAAATATATCGACTGATAAATCTGATTAGATTAATGATTACTCATACAATCAATAGGGTTCTTACCGATATTCTGGACAAATGAATGCTGATCCTGCATAAGCCGCATCGATGTGAAGCCATATATTGTACTGGTTGCAGACTGGCCCCATCTCTTCTAGATTATCGAAAGTACATGAAGAAGTTGTTCCTAATGTACATACAGCCTGGAAAAAAAATGAATTGGTGATATTGAAGTTTGTAGACTTGAAATACTCATTCTTTGGGTAATAGATTGTTTACTGATGTTGATAATAATTTATCCTCACATAGAATGGGATGAGCCCAGCTTCAATATCTTCCTGCACAGCCTTTTCCAGTATTTCTCCAGTTAGTTTATTGGAGTCGTCTGGTTGGAGTGACCGCAACTTGATTCCACCGAGGAGACCAGCCCTTTCAACTGAAGAATGACTTTGACCTGAGAACAGAGGAATCAGAATTATAGCATATAGGTTGATTTCAAATGGAGTATAATACCATTGCGTCTAAAAAAGTGCGAGAGCGACGATATCGGCATCGCTCATCTTCGAATGTTCCGTCTTCGGAATGGTGCCAGAGTGGCCTCACTGGCCGTGCTCTGGAACACTGTGATTTGCTGAGGCAGTGCCCCAGGCAAATTCACAGTTTCAAGTGGAATTCATCCCAAATACCATCGAGATATTTGAATTTGAACAAAATCGATCTCAAGGACCGTATTGTGCATTGCATATTTAATATAGGGGTCACATCATGTGTCTCTCGATATATGATACAAAATATTTCACTTTTTCAATAAGGGGAAAAACCAGATTCTGGAAGAATTGATAGTGATTATATTATGATTGAATGCGTCTATAAGAGCTTTCATAACATGTTCAACTTTTTGTTCCAGCTGTTTCCATGTCTGCTTCATATAGAATGAATCATCATCTGCAAAGCCTACCTCGCTTATTAGCTTCTCATTGAGAACGACCATGATCCGACCAAATAAGAAAAATGGTAGTTTTCGACAAGTTTCACTTTTTCAATAAGGGTAAAAACCAGGTGTTGGAAGAATTGATAATGAGTACTTCATGATTGAATGCAGCTTTTATGACTTTGATATCTTGTTCAACTTTTTTTTCAGCGATTTCTATATTGACTGTATCATCTGCGAAGCCTACCTCGCCTACTAGCTCCTCATTGAGAACGACATGGTCCGACCAAATAAGAGAAACAGTAGTTTTCGACAAGTTTGCCTGCCTTTTTAAATAAATAAATAAATAAATAAATTTATTAAATCCTTCATGATCAAAAAAAATGATATAGGATACGTCAGACAACAGATGATACACAAACATTTTAAACATAAATTAGTAACATTACAGTTATACATCAAAAGTAGATATAAAATGAATATAAATAAAATAAAGAAATGGGTCCTAATAACTAAGATATTCATCAGTACTATAGAAACAACCTTCAATCAAGAATTCTTTCAGTTCTGCCTTGAAAATATGTTTACTACTTCGGTTTTTTATATCATCCGGTAGATGATTGAACAGTTTTGCTCCCACATATGACGGACAGTTCTCATAGAGACGAGTTGAATGTTTTTGGAGCCGTATCAGTTCACCATGCCTGGTAGGGTATGCATGAAAATCACAATTTCGGTTGTAGTCATGGATATTTGTTTCGAATAATAAAATGCATTTGTATATATAAATGCATGGAACGCACATGATTTTATTTCGAATGAAGTATTGTTTACATGATTCTCTGTAATTTAATCCAAATATCAATCGTATAACCCTTTTCTGAGAGATGAATATTTTATTTAGTTTTGTGCAACAGCCCCACACAGCAATGTTGTAAGAAATATGGGAGTATACAATTGCAAAATATACATTCAAGAGCTGTGCCTTACTGAATGTTGACTTCAACTGTCTAATTGCATAATATCCAGTGTTTACTTTCTTGGTAACTTGATTCATAGTCGACTCCCAGGTCATGTTACTATCGATGTAGGTACCCAGAAATTTCACTTCATTTGATGATTCAATTGTCTCATCGCCTACTCTTACGTTGAAATTATCAATTTTTTTTGTACCTTTGGAGTAGAACTGCATTAAAACTGTTTTTCTCGAATTTACTACCAAACAATTCTTTATACACCAGCTTGTGAACTCCAAACTTAGCAAATTCAATTTTTCTTGAAGTTCCTCTGGGGTAGCGGCATCCGCGGCAAGCGTAGTATCATCAGCATACAGAACTATATAATCTGTGCTTATATGATTTGGCATATCATTAATAAAAAGGAGAAAGATTAGGGGACCCAATATAGACCCCTGAGGAACTCCTAAGTCCATATCATACGACTGTGATCGACATTCATCAACTTTCACATGTATTTTCCTAGAAGTCAAATACGACTCAAGCCACGAATTGAAAGTACCTCGAAAACCAAGGGAATATAGTTTTTTGGAAATAATACCGGGGTCGATGATGTCAAATGCCTTCGACAAATCAAAGAAAAGTGCACCAACGTATCGTCTTTTGTCAAGTGAGTCATAAACATACTTGAAAAAGCTGCAGAATGCACTTTCCGTTGACCTACCTGGGCGGAATCCGTGTTGAAATTTAGATATGATATCGAATTGATCGAGAAACGCTAGCATCTTCTGATAAACACATCTCTCAAAAATTTTACATAACACTGTAGGAACTGTTACAGGTCTGTAGTTCTCAATTAATGTTGACTCACCTTTTTTTAAAATTGGTGTTATTGACCCAACTTTTAGTTTGTTGGGGAACTCCCCCTTTTCAATAGAAGAATTTATCAAAAATGCCAGTGGTTCGCAAATGAAGTTTCTGATATTTTTGATGATTTTTGTGGAAATGCAATCTACCCCTACTGAGTTCGTATTTTTCAGGTTAGATATAATGTCCAATATATCATTTGGAAGTACAGGGGTAAAATAGAAGGTATGGATTACATGCATAGTTGTGTAATCATTGAAAGATGTCGACTCAAAATGTAAATCAACTGTATTTTTTGCTATAGTCGAAAAGTACGAACCGAAAGCATCGGCGATCTCATTTGTGTTGTGGACCAATTTATTATTCAGTAATAATTCGCGATCTATTTTTCGTCTTTTTCTTCCAGTTTTATAATTAACTATATTCCAAATTTTTTTCTGTTTCTCCTGTTGAGTTTTATTTTCAAGTGAGCCCTGATTGAATGCATACTTTGCCTCATGTATCTTCTTCTTGTATATTTTTTTCGAATCATTGTAATATTGTGTAACTTCTAAATCTCTCACATTTTTAGATAACCAAAAAAGATTTTTCAAGTCATTCCCCATGAGAACTATATCTTCTGTGACCCATTGTTTTCTACTGGACTGAATATCGTGATTAATGGTTTTTTCCACAGAAGGACACGTTAAATTTATTCAATATATAAGTATATTCAGAAATGTTTCATAGGCACATTGAATGTTAGGAACACTTCCATAAATAGAATGAAAACTTTCATTCTTCAAACAATCTTGGAGTCTCGCGAGATTCTCAGAGCAGGTGTTCATAAAGCTTATTTTCTTTCGGGTATCTCTCTTATCTAAAGTTTGATCAGAGAGTTCGAAAGAGAGGCATGAATGATCCGCGAGGTTCACATTTAGTATTTTCTCTAGATATAGAGACTGACAAATATTGGTTAAAAAATAGTCAATTTTAGAGCTACTCGTTCTACCACTTGTGTCAGTGAAAATTCTGGTTGGTTCAAAGTTTTTGAAGCTGAGGTTGAAACTATATAACAAATCTTTCAGTAATATTTTATCGTTTGATTCACATGAATAGTTGATATTTTTTATCAACATCGAATAAGGAATCTGGAAGAAATGCTGACTCGAAGATACTCACTAGAAGTATATCCGACCAATTTAGCGACGATATCGGCATCGCTCATCTCCGGATGTTCCGCTTTCCCTGTGCAGATGGCACGTGCCTTAGCGCCCAATAAGGCCACCAGAGTGGCCTCACTAGCCGTGCCCTGGATCACTCCGCCGCCCTTGCCCCCCGAGCAGGCCAGGAAGGGCTCTGGCAGAGCAAGCATTTTCCCCAGCCAGTCCATCATCACGACTTCGAGTTCGGTGCATGCCGGGCTGGAGATCTGGGAAAATAGATGGTTTGTGCTATACCGAAATAAGGCCAATCATAAATGAATATAGAATGATTTCGTGCAAAAGGTTATGGCGTTTTGAAACTTGCCAGGATTTTTGTAGGTCCTGGAGAAAAACTTCCTTTTTAAAAAACTTGTGTGCCTAGGACCACACGTAAGAAGAGATAACTTCTGCTTATTCTTTCTTCTGAACAATATGAGGGAAATCTGGATGAAAATACATTGATTTCATGTCATATTTCCACGTATTCGCGAGAAGGATGAACTAGAACTGAATAACAATTAAGTAACAATAGTTATTCAAACACCAAGGAAGGTTAAGCATAACATTATTACTCAGGGACCAAGATAATATATCCCGAGGCTTCAGCTGAGGTTGGATTATCCTTTGAACTTTTAGAGGTTATACGTACAGACGATCGAGTATCAGTAAAGTGTTGGTCGACAAATCTCAAGGTTGACAACGAATGGATGTACTGACTGGGCTTGTCGAGTTCGGCTGAGTGGTATTGCTAGTGATGGAATGACAGCAGATATTCCTGAGAAACATTTCCCGTGGAAGTATCTATAGAAAAGTTAGAAATCGACTACTTTTCTATGGTGTTCTAATGAGGTCAACGAACTAGTGAGTGTGGCATCACCCACCAGGCGAATGGCACTTCTCTGGATAGAATCTAAGAGCATCGGCGTATGTTTGGGTGCTGAAGCCCATATGTGAGAATAGTATTCTAAAACTGGCCGTACATGTGCTTTGTAGATCATAAGAAGCTGCTGAGATGTAGAGTAGATTTTGGCATGAGATAAAAATCCGAGTTTTTGTGAAGCAACTTTCGCGATGGATCGGACATGATTTTCCCATGAAAGAGTATTGCTGATGGAAATACTGAGGATCGATATAGTTGTATCGGTGGGAATGATGGTGCCAGACATTAATTGTTATATTATATTGTTAGTGGAATTGAATTGGAAATCGCAGATTGTTTTTTCTCCATTCAATCTATGTAGTATCTGCTTGGCTATGTTTTTCTAAAGTAGGCAGGAACGCCATCGAATGTGTTATTCTTAGTAGATTCGACCAGTATATACGTGCCGTCTAAACTGAAATTATTGTTTGATCGCACTTGTGACGACACCAAAGTATGGTTTTTGTCCTTTAAATACAGAATACAGGAATAGGGATTCAGTGCAGTTCCATACAATTTCGGAGTTCATTGTGCTGGAGCTCATCGTGCTTTGAGAGCAGCCTGACTAAAATTCCTATCAACTAGAGGTCTGTTAGTATTGCACACAATGCAATCGCACAAATTCCAGAGATAGTATGATACTTTCCGAGATTGACTTCGGACCAATAGTGATGACGACAGATTAGTGATAATCAGTTATCTTGAAACCATTAAAAATAATTTTTTTTCAAGCATGGTTAATTCTAATAAATTTCAAATTCTCTAAAAATTGCCTGACGCTTGAAAGCACCCTATATAGACCGCAATAAATATTTCTAGAAGATGATTCCGAGTATTATTCAATAGGAATGATGGATTTCCACCAAAGATTAATTATTAATAATTTAGACGACAAAATCCGCATTCTATCTCTCGTCGCAGGTAGTTAACGACTGAAGTATTATACTACTATTCTCCCGAGATAACGCTCCAGTAGTTCCCTTTAGTCGTTCTGAAGGAGGAAATGATCCTTTCCAACACAGAGGATTACGTCCTTTATGAACGCAGCACGATTGTTCTCGCTGCTTTTGTTTTGTCCTGAAGTTATATCATCGCTCAATATTTCGAGTTGGGGATAATAATTCACCTATCCACCAGCCTTCGGTTTATATTTTTCATTCAAATGAATTGATTCGAAATGATGATTTCAGCCGATCATGTCCAACGGTCTGGAACGTATACACAGGCCGTTTTTGTTATAATATGTTCTACCACTATATTGGTTCCTCGAAAACGGTAAAAGATATATGAAGTTGGAAAATCAAACAAAATTTGCCTATTTAAGTGAACAATGCAACGATGTATCCAAATCGGACGTCACACATTGATATTTAAATTTCTCATGAATAGTAGATTGTTTCATTAGGATCAAAAGTGACACTTTATTTGACAAGCGAATTTTCGTTTTGTGGGGCGGAGCATCTAGCGAAGCCAAGCGAAAGCGCGAGTCAAACAAAGTCACTTTTGATCCGTATGAAACATGCTATTTCTTCTACAACCGAAAAAATAAACTAAAATAAATTCAAGTAAGTACCCACCAATGTGAGCCAATTGACAGATTATTATAATGATATGAGTAAGTAGATAGAAGCAATACCTCAGAATACTTTACTTTGTTACAATTTGTGTTGACATGCATCATGTGATCAGAGACTACAGGCACGAATTCAATACCACCAGAAACGTGGATGCCGTGCAATGCAACCAATAATCCATAATAGAAAATACCGTGCCAGTGCCAGGTATAGGAGAAAGAAGTGGAAAATGTTAGGTTAGTGAGCATCTCAACAATGATGAGTGCGATTATTTATTTCTCCCCATATTCCACTGTGTTTGGCTGGGTAATCAAAAGAAAGTAAACAATATCGTTACATATGCGACAAAAAGGTATTGCTGGCTGTGATTATTCAAAAACAAGTTATCCAATCAATCAGATCCCGAATGAACTACAGATCGAGCAAGAATGTGAATCGTAAAGGCTTTCCTGATCAAAACAAAAATACTTAATTATAATATGATGTATTCATATCTCCAAGCAAATCTGGTATGCGCTCCAAACTAAATAACCAACCATAACAATGTTGTTCATTCTTGATGACCTAGTACATCCATTTTAGTTCGTAGGAGCAGAAGTTCAACTTTAGCTCCTAGAAACTAAAAGTGTTGCCTAGCAACATACCTATGTTTGTGTCAGTAATAGAAACGTCAATTCAAGAGCTAATTTTGGTAATAGAATGGACGACTTTTGTGTCTGTTGCAGAAAAAAGTTGATTTCTCTTAAAGACAGTACTCAAGTGAGTCCGTTTAAATCTCAAAAGAACTGGTAGTGCGCGGCGTATGTGCTGACCGACTTCAGAAAGATTATACCTGTTTTAGTAGAAAATCTTGGAACGCCTACTTATATTATAATGCTAAATTGCAAAGATAAATCTCGCAGTTATCCCAATTGACAGACTGATTTTGCAATTTCAAACAGAACAATGTTTTCATCGCATCTAGCTTGATTGACAATTTCATATTGCCATTTTGTCAATTGAGGTAATTGCAAGATTCATCAATTATAATTTTTGAAAGAACTTTGTTTGCGTTATGTTAGTTCAATTCAGTAAAGCGCCTGCGTAAATTTCAATACTCCTGTTCTAAAAAATTTCGCAAATCACCTATGCAAGTGTACTTGATAATTATGATACTGGTTGCTAAACTCAAAAGTGATATTTCAGTAAAATAGTGTCAAATGGAAATTATTCTGTTCCAGATGTGAAACCTTGATAAACCTAATGATCACATAAATTCTCTTTCATTTCAACAGTCAACGTGTGTCGAAAGAATTGGTAATAATAAATTCAGTGTCCAAAGGAGATTGACCATTATCCAATGATCATTAGACGAACAGAATGGAGAACAAGTAGTGTACATAAGATAATGCAACAGCTACTTTACATTGTTTATTTTTTATAAACCTGATTCATTTTATGGTATATGATACTACTGGTCGAATCCTAATGAATCCGACATGGTTCAATTCTTATTGCTATGTCTTATCATTGTTATCTGAAGCATTCAGGTATTTCAACATCTTCCTATTTCTTCGGTGTTTCAGAAATTAATTCCATCTGCCAAATTCGATAGTATGATGATAATATCTTCTATGTCAAAACGTATCGAAATACTGGCTCTTTTGGGGATATGAATTTCATGAATTTCAAATTCGCATCCAAGAAGGCATCAAGGTTTTTGGGAACAAGATATACAAGAATTGTAAGTAACTAAACTGACACTGAATAAAATGATATGTGGCCTTATTAGGCTTACCGTGAAGCAAATAAGACTATATGCATGTGAAACATGAAGTAAAGCAAATAAAACATTTGAAAATATTTCTCTATTCTTCAAACTTATGAAGAACGATAATCCATAATTGTTGAATCAACGCTATAATTATGCTGTCGCGGAAATCAATGTTACCAGGTGGCGCTCGGTTTTCATCGTTCCATGTCAAAGCTACGTCAAAACTGGGGGAAAACAAACTCAATCCTCACTCAATCCCATTAGTTTGACTACTACAGCTACAGCAAAATGTATGCAATGTAGTCTATGCACTTTATCCATAGACAACAGTTTGTTTTCCCCCAGTTTGAAGTTGGTATTATGTAACCTAGATGTCGCCCACTTCGTGAATCTCGCGAATACCATATTCGAATTTGGCAATTAGACTTTCTAGGAACGACATGACTCCATATATCAGAAGAACCTCATATTAGGTAGATCATTGTCGATCTAAATGAAAACCTTGTAGGCGACCTATAGTGCGAGGAGGTATACTATTGTCTCTTCAGTGAATCGAAATATGTATGTCTGTCAAGTGGCGCTGGGGAAGAGTCTTTGGAAAGAGCTCATTTGTTTATGTCAAATTCAAGTTGCATCATAAATCATGCTAATACAGCATTGCCTAAACATCTTCCTCCTTCCATTCACTTATAGGTAGATAATTTTCATACTCGATAATATATTTCGTGATAATGTTTCATCCTCGGGTTTCAACATGACAGATTTTCATTCACAAACTTGACAGGAGCATGAAAAAATTTTCGGTAAGGAATAAAAAATGAATAACTCAGTCTTCTTAGTTAACGTAGATGTCTCCGAGGTACAACATTTCTTCATTTGTCTTTTCAATGAACAGACAATATTATAGCTCTTGCCTACTAACTACCTAACTAGGTTGTCATCTAGAACGACAATCGGTAGATAGTTCAGGTTCGATTGGTTCCTAAATTTGATTTCCCAGTTCCGCAGTAGTTCTCATGAAATCAAATTATCAGCGGAGTAGATAAAAAATCTATAGACGAAATCACCGCAAACTCGGAGATATCAAAACTTACCCAAGTGAAACCAATGCAAGCGATTGCACCGCTCAGTATGTCGGCAACTATTGCCGGATAGGAATTCGCAGTAGGATAATAAGCGTGAAATCTGGGTGAATGCCAATGCGTCACCTAAAAAAAAAACATAAAAACAATAAGATAAAGTAAAATAATGGATTGTTTTTCAACCAAGCCCCCAATTTTATAGAGCCAAAAATCCAGGACACCCTTTCTTTCTGGCGCTTCCTGATGTTTATGAAATATTGAGATTGTCGATGAAAAGTATTCTCACCCCAGGCATAACCACTCTCTCGATATCTTTCATAATATCCTCCCATTTATCTGGTTTCTCAGGAGCAGTTTCTGGTATGAGCGGTCTCAAATATCCCGGCTCCACAGTTGGTAAGACTCGCCTGGAACAAATATAAAGTTGATCCAAGTTGAGCATGTTCCCCAATTAGTAGAGACTTCTTCATAATCGAACAAGCAAAACTGTTTAAACTATTAATGAATAAGAATTTCAACATTTTGTTCTTCACAGTTTGAGTGAAACTTCTCTGAATGTATGCAGGTCTGTACTTGTATATAAACGGCGTTTCTGGATGAGTTGTGTATATGTTTTCCTCTACTAGCTCATCCATTCCATCTTCAACCTGAAGAATGAATTTTCTTCCATAATATCTTACTACTACCTAGAGCCCACCAGAGTGAAACCACAACTGGCACGCATTATAAGCAATCAGGTGTACACGTGTTTTCCAATGGTGTTCGCTATGATATATTGTTATTAGTGCAACACTAGTTCCTAATCAGTGCTACATTAGTTCCTAATCAGTGCATCACTAGTTCCTAATCAGTGCATCACTAGTTCCTAATCAGTGCTTCACTAGTTCCTAATCAATGCATCACTAGTTCCTAATCAATGCATCACTAGTTTTCCCAATGTTATTCACTGTAATTCAGTGAAGCACTAGTTTTCCAATGGTCTTCGCTATTAGTTTCATCATGTTCTAATATGAATTGTTATCATCTGCTTTGTAGAAGATATATACATATTTTTTAAGTGAGCGTTGCAGTTTTCCAATTATAACCACAATAATTCAGAACATCAGATCAGCTTTCGTGTGGATGGTGTTGACTGACTCATTTTGTGGTAAAAGACTTTCTTTCGATATAAGATGATGCACGATAATGCGATTTGAAACAGCATTCGGAGCATGTCATATTTTTGGAAGTTGGTTTTTCGATGGTTTAGACTACTCGATGAGATAATTTCACACATTGATAACAAATTGCGAAGTGACACTTTTCTTCAATTTCAAATAACGAAAGAAATAACTATATAGGAATGAATGCGCCATCCCAATAAGCTTGCTTCAAAATTTGGTATCCACTTACATCTCAACCCTGTAAGTGTTATTCAAATTCAAAGGATTGTCAATTTGAGAAAAATAACGAGATCAAGTTTGTAACTTCGAGTATTCACAAATTAGTGAAGAATCTAGTAGTGAAAATACTGAACATTAGTGATGAGATAACCCAATTCAGGTTTCCAAATAGACCTGTCTCCATTAGTACTAAGGGAAGCAAGGCACTTGCATATTTTTACTATTTCCTTCGTTTCATAACCACGAAGTTTCATACCATATGTCAAAAACATTGTCAACCAATTCATTCACAAACTTTCGTTGACAGAACCAAAATTCAAGTTTTCTCCCAAAATAATAATGAACCGAAACCTGATTGACCTTCCGTATCCTGATCACAATACACGCCAGTATGTCTCTAGGGTCTGCTGCGATATCATAGAAGATATATTGAAGAAAACCTACGATGAAGAAAATCCTTTGACTACTGCTTCGGAAAAATGTTCTCAGGGTACTCAGACCGAACAAAAACATTATTTTAGATTGATGGTACAAGAGAAGATATTCGAAGCTGCAACTAATGGCTTCCCATAAGGCCAGAAAATTACTCTGAGTGTTACTGTTTAAGGTTTTGTTGTAGGTATACAGTTCTGTAATTGTATGATAACAATAAATTGCTTCGACGGCTGAATATATGTCACATTACAAGAAAGTTACAATAAGCTGTGGGCATGGTGTCTATTTTTTCAGCAGCTGATTTTATCAAGCAGTATAATCCTGCTATAGAGTAACTTCTCCGTCTGAAGGACTGCTTTTTATATTGTCATCTTCAAATGTGAAAAACTTCATCTACGTTATGATTGACATGATATTCTCAATATCACGACACATTAAGCTAACACAGTAACTTCTATGTTCAAGTTAAATACTCGTAAAATAATTCAATTGATTTTCCTTATAACTTATATATACCTATAAGAACCCAAAGCACAGATTGACAAACCTTACCTACTCAAAGCAATTTTGAATAATGTTTTTATGGTAAGATAAACTTTTTTGATTCGTTTTTTCACAGAGTTTCTTTCATTGCTTATCGAACAACATAACCTACGTCCATTGTTGACTTTCATGAAATTTTCCTCTAGAAGAGAAACATTCACTTGCCTGCCATTTTATGTTGATAAGGGTGATTTGATTTATTATATATGCATAGTGATATCAGTGTGGGAGTGTCCATGTTTCATTGTCGATACACAATTTTCAGATTTTTTCTTGTAACATGAATATTCATGCAATCAATCATTCCATGAATTTTGTCCCAACTATTGCAACAAGCCGACTGAACTACAAAATCAGAATATCACACCTTTTGATGATTTGTTTTTATATTAATTGGAAGGAAATATATCTGATATGAATATATTAATTATGATTATAATTTGATATACCACCTGATTGGGTCAAGGGTGATAAACAAGAACTTTCACTATACTCTCAAGCATGTCATGAAATAGTTCACAATCTATAATACCTACACCCATTATTATGTTTGGGTTAAGAGGAGGATACACCATGCATCAGTGCAATGAAAACATGATTTCTCCGCCCCCACTTTTCATTGTTCAATATTGATTTTTTCGGAAAACAAAAAATATGGTGAGATGAAGAATTGAAATATCTAGGTTTCTCTGGAAGCAGAATTTTGAAAAAATTCACCGATATTCTGCAAAAAAATCATGAACATTGCATTTTTCGAGTATATTCAGAATTTTTTTTTGGAAAAACTAAGACAAAAACTCAAAATCTGCTTCCAGAGAAACATCCGTTCATCCTTTGTGAAGAGCCCAGTATTTTTTGTTTCAGGAAAAAAAAATTTTTAGAGGGGGAAAAGTGGGGGCGCGCGATCCCATGTTTTCCAACATTTCGACACTGATTCCTAGCGTCCTCACCGGAGAATGCTGAAAACTGTGTTTCAATATTGGAATACAAGCTTATTTTGCGTTTTTGAGATTTTACCAGAGGGATTCAAAAAGTAGGGCACATTTACGTTTGTACTTCAGCTATCTATATCATTTTTCATCATTTCTGTTTCTTCATCCTATTCCTTTTGAGCTTTTATACTGTCCACAATATCCATACATTATTTTATATTATCGAATGGGAATTATAAGATAATTTTAGCATTCCAGTAAGGAAGTATAGCACGATGTCCGTGAATCCTCCTCTCCGAAATGATAAATAAAAACATCAGATGATGTCATAGGTGCGGTGTGAGGTGAAACGTTTGTCGGCAAAAGGGGAACCGGCGAAAAGCCGCATTTCGGACCATATAAAGATTTTTTTTGAAGCGGGGAATTTCACATAAGTATAGACTTTCAAGGGTAGAGAAGATATTTTGTATTAGGTATATCACAGTAGAAAATATCGCCTATAATGGTATTCGTGAAATAGTAGCGGTAGACTTCGCGAGTGTTTCGAGTGTTTACTTCGAAGTTCAGGTTTTTATAATTCATGGGAAGGATAAATACGAATTGATATTATGTAAATATATAAGTATATACAGCATGTCTCACTTCAAATGCCCCCCTCCCTCTATATCTCAGCTATTATAGCTATCAATCGTGCGATTCTTACCAAATTTGGACTAGTATGAATTACCATTGATATGATCAGTTTTTAGGAAAAGAAACATCATTATGGACAGTGCCGTGCGTTTTTATTGAAATTGAAATGGGTTTCATGAATCAGGATTTCTTGTAGGAAAACTAACTTTACAGTACTCATGTTTTCGAACCTCCATGTGCAAAAATTCAATACTTTCAAAATTCTATAGAATGGGTCAAATTTCTCTCTTCATTATCAGCCCCGAATAAATAATGACTTCTAATTAACCGCAAATTCTGGAACGTTCAATAGCTCCAGTAAGTAGAAAATTATGGTTTACATAAAAAGAACAAGGCATAGTTTTTTTGTTGAACTCAATCATTTTCGAATGAATAATTTTTCCTACTCCCATTTTATAAAAAGCGAATTAATTATCTCGGATTTCTATCATGATACAGATCTTAACCAATGAAGACACGTTCTTTTCATCATGATAACAAATTTTTGGCCCATAAAAACACGTAGTACTAGGTATAATCAAGTGGGTCTATGTTTCTATCTCACTTGCTTGAGTTGTTTGACATTTAATTCCAAATGACAATCATAATGACAACGCGAATGCGTCAAAAGTTCATGCAATTCATGTACTTATGATGGTGGAGAATGCTGAAATATAAATAGTGAGAAATTATTTGATTTTTAGAGCTATAATTTCTATAGGCCAGTTAGGCACTTTCTGGGATAACAGTAAACCGGCAGACTCGCGTCATGGAAGCAAGCGTACCAGTGTAGGTATATCTATTCATGTGAAAACTCCACAAACGATAAGATTTCCACAAAATTCTCAAACACATGACATGTTTCGCTAATACAGTTGCTTCGTCAGGTGATATACTGGTACGGCCGAGTCAATTCAAAATATCTATTTATGTTGATATGCGATGGCGGTTATATATGTTCTCGAGTCTTGAATAGCGTAATACATGCGTCGAAGTCACCAATAGTCGATCTGATCATATTGTGTTCTCGCTGGGATTACGAAAATCATTCATTTCATTTATAATACACAGGGTGAGTAATGAATACTTCTGATGAGATGCAATTTGGAAGTTCTTAGTCGCAAATGTCAAATTTCTCTATCAATATTTTCATATTTATTTAGTTCATCCTTTTCGTGTATACGTGTAAATATTTCATGAAATTGATATAACTTCATTCAGATTTCCCCGTATTGTCTAAAAAATACTGGAAATACTATACCGGCCATCGAAGTTGTCACTTCCTACTTGTGGTCCTACAAAAAATAGTGTATGAAACTATCATGATATTGAACTATCAATACACTCCTATATACATGGTTTCCGCGTGATCGATGCATAGAATACTAATTTACGTTCGCCAAAATGCTGATGCTGATACCCTCCACAGAATTCGTGTGAAAATTCTTATAACGTTGCAGAACAATATTATGAGGTTCGTTTTCCTGTTGAAAGATGCCTTTTCATGGAAAATCGACCCCGTTTTATTTTAATAGAACCCCAGATACAGAATACCAGTCCAAATTTGGTAAAAATCGCCAGACTAATAACTGAGATATAGAAAGAGAAAAGCGTTTTTTCAAGTGAGGGACGCTGTATATGATAAAAAAAGTTCCATCTACTACGATGTGAAATTGCCATTTTAGAAAATATGACTCATTGTAATTTGCTGAAATTTTGCAGCTTTTGCAGCTACGTTTCTTTATCGAAACTATTCCAGATGGCACCTTATGGAAAAAATCCAGATCCGGACATGGGAAAAATTCATGTTATACTGATTTCTAAAGAGTTCACTTTGTGATCACTTTTCGCGAGAATTCTTATCAGAATCCGAAAGATCTGACGAAATGCCATAAGGACTGCTCTTCATTTTCAGGGCACGACACTTTGACCGGTTCAATGAAGAAATATGAAACAAAAAAGTTCGAATGAATTTTCAATTTTGACCTGACTGATGAAGTAAACAGTACTTTCAACTGGAATCATGTAAATAGATTTTTTGTACATTTTTGTTGGGTAAAAATTGACAGAAAAGAGTGAACGAGAAAAAGCACAGTACCACTAACACTGATTTTTGTGATGATTTGCAATATATGTTATAGTTCTTGATCGAAATTCTAGATAGATATTAGTAGTCGTGCCTCGAGTCGTGCCCTATTCTTTATTTCATGATGTGACGTGTGATTCTTGCACTCAAGATGTCACTTTATTTTTCAGATGCTGAACATGGAAAAAGTTCAAATGTTTGCAATGTTTAATACCATAGAAGATTTACAGACCCAAGAATATGTATAGGAGTAAAACCTTACTACGGCTATAACACACAATTGCTCTCGTTTCACTGTGCTCGATACGTCAATGAGGTACTTTGTATATCATCAATATTATTTCCGTATCTGATATCACAATGTGTTATTATTTCAAAAAAACCTCATCGCTCATGGAATGTCAAATGTGAGCAATGACACCGCTGTCTAATAGATGAGCATTACTTGACAGGAAATCAAATGGCTACAGGACGACGAAATCGAAAATGTCGCTGTTATCTATTATAGCCGTCGAAAAATTATGGCAGCATTCGCCAATATGGCTCATGCTGCAAACTTTATTCTCGTAGGAAATCACTATCATTCCGTGCTCGTTAAACAATTTAATAATTTCATTCATTACATAATCTGATCAATCACATCACAACCTGTGTAATCGCGAAAACACAAGCGGTCTTTCAATTCAAAGACTGTCAGTTTGGCATGAAAAAATTATATCTGTCGTCAGAATATGAATCGCTCATTTATGAGAAATTCTCTCTCTCTCTAGCAAATCACAACTCCGTTCTGAATATGTTCTCATGATTCTGTCTTTCATTGTTAAATAACTCAATTGTGTTGAAATACCACTCGTCGTGGTGTTGCCCAGCAGCTTTCGTGAACAAGGAAGCGACAGAATTATCTCGAATATTCAGAACATCCTGATAAATCTTCATGCCATAATTTCACCAGTACCCATCTTTTCGGAATATCAACAGATGTCACGTCACGTCAAATGATGAAAAACACCGCCTATACTATATCATTATTACTTCATTGATATTTGCAATATTTGTAACGAGAAACAAGTCACGATGTCGATCAAAAACGAACACTTCAAATGACCAAAAAAGCAGTTCTGTGTTTTTTTATCGACTACTTATATCTGCCGATTTCTATCATGAATTCCGATAAATTCACATGAATCCAGTTGAAATGAGAGAGTTATCAGCTAGGTTCAAATTGAAAATTCAATCGAACGTTCTTGTTTCATATTTTTTAATGAACCGCGATCAAAGTGTGTCGTGCAAATTGAAGAGCAGTTCTTATGGCATTATGTCTGATCTTCCTGAATCTGATGAAATTTTTCTAGAAAACTGATTACAAAATGAGCTTTTTCTATATAACAAGAGAACATGAGTTTTTCGGATCTGATTTTTTATAATATGCCATCTTGAATAAAGAAACGTCACTGCCTAATTGGGATGAATAATATCTGAAATGTCGGCCATTGAAATCATAATATGGCAATTTCACATAATATATTCGTTATTGAAGGCCAACAGAATCGTTCATACATGAAATCTCAACTTGTTTTGTTTTCCACTACTCACCATTTGGCTATGTGAGTCTCTTCCTGGATTGCCCTGTATATCAAATTTGTCCTATAGTTTCTAAAAGCATCTTCCCCATATAGGTCAATATACAGCAAACTGATGAATATATTCAATAACAATATAATCCTTGTTACTATTTCACTCAAAAGTCGAGAAATATGGTGCATTGATCAAGAGAATTTTGATGAAATCATCGTGAGAAAAAGAACAGCAGTTTCGCATTCATGCTATGATATGACCCTTCTAACTATCATACAGAAGAGCAGCTTTGAAAATTCACGGCAACTTATCTCACAGCATCTAAGAAGCCTTCGCTTTTCTATATTTCGCTCTCGAATAATCTTGGACATCCCCTCGTATGTCTTCTTCGCGGCAATAAGATACGCCTATCGAACGAGCAAGGCGAAGTCATTGAGTGAGAAAGACGGAGTCCGTTCTGGAATTTCAAATATTTACCTCGTCTTCTACCCCTTAATAGAGGAGAAACTGAAGTATCATCGATATCATCCACTTAAGGATATATACAAACGCATAAACCTTGATACAATCATTTTTGACTTGACCTAAAAAATAAGATATACATAATATATTGTGAATACAAAACTATAGGTATAAATACAACCTATCCTATAATAGGAATAGTGAACTGATTGATTCCTTAATCATCACACTGATAGTTTAAACTTCATCATCTTCGAAACCATATCTGAATGGTTTTGATGTGCTAAAACGATTTTTTTTCAATGATCTATCATAATGTTCTTACCTGTCTCGTATATTCTCCAGATATCCTGCGACGTAGTCTATCATCTCCTTTCCGAACTCCCTAAACTGATTAGCCTCCATTTCTGAAAGCGAAATTCAATCTTACATCGAGTTTAGCAGAATATGTATATATCAGCAGTTTTAATTGAATATCTGATGAGGACATTTTCATTTCTTAAAAGGTGTTGACATTTGGGTAGTGTGTTTCATTTTGTGACTTGAACCTGCGAAAGCCTATAATAAGAGCCATGGGTTTTTTGTTTTTCTTTTTATCTTTTTTTTCTGTGACGGGAAAAAAATTTGACATTTCATCCCTGTTGGCAGGTTATAAAATGCAACTTTTCATAAATCACTGCTTTTCCACCGGAAAAAAGTTAGCACTCTCCTATTTTTTGTGCTAAAAATAAGCCCATAACACCTTTTTCGAGGAAGAACTGCAAATCCTCTTGTCTTCAGTCACAGAATTAGACTGACAGATATTTGATTACTCCAAAAGAATGAAAAATATGCCTCAAAAAATAAGCCTCCAACGCAGAATTTTCTGATTTCAATATAATATAATATCTTCTCAATATTGATTCGTCGTTCGCCTTGTCACAAAAAAAATAGTGTAGGGAAAAATATTAGATTTCAGCTCTCAACCTCGAGCTAAAATCTACAACTTTTTTTCCTTGCATGATAAATAACTAACAATCTTTTCCTGTAGATGCTTTGGATTACACTTTTCTCTTCATATTTATGTTCAGTATAGCCACTGCTACCGATAATACAGGGTGCCTCAAGTTTAACTCGTCTTACTTTGAAAATCGATAGCAAAAATCAAAATATCAGTGTATATAATCGAGGATATTAGATACGTATTTATTTCATCTGTTTGTTTTCATCATACGGGGTTAGAGTTCGCATATTTTTTTTATCTCAGTTGAAACAGAACCTATCGCGATCTGAAATTCGGTGAGCACTTCTCTATCAGCAATATGAATTAACAGTCCTTATCAATTGAATACACTGGGTGTTATTCTTCTTCGAGCCCTCTGACATGGAACTCATCAGATTTTTTTATTGGGACGCTAGTAGTGGATTGAACCTAATGAAAAATCATTATTATTTCTTCACAACACTTTGTGTTCTTCATTTCTTTCAATATATTTCGTGTCCGTGAACTATTTGATATTCAATTTGAATGATAATTTGATGTACTTCAGATAAACGTTCAGGTTAAGAAACTGTTATTCACAGTATAACATCATTACTGAAGGTAAGTAAATGAGGACAAATTTCCATCAGCTATAATTCACCAATAGTGTCCCAATTGAGAAAATTTGTAGGGTTCCATATCAGTGGATATAAACAAAATTGATACCCAGTGTAGCTAAGTCCCCTCTTAACTGTTCATATTGCAGATAGAAAAGTGCTAAACGAATTTCAATTCGCTGGGTTATGTTTCAACAGAGATAATAAATGAAAACCAGAAACTTATGCGAACTTTAACACCCCGTATAATGAAAACAAGTGTCTCCACGACAAAACTAATGCCCGCATTTATAGTCGTTTCCTCAAGAAGTCCTCAAGTCATCCTCATCTGAGGATGACTTGAGGACTCCTCAGCCCTTGCCGAGAAACTTGTTTTATAGATCCCTCTTGAGTAACCCTTCTAAAAGGAGCCCTCACACTTGGCAACAGTGTATAATATTAGTGTTCTATGACCAAATTTGTTGTTTCATGTCACTCAAATTTTTACTGTGGACATCAAAAGTATAATAATCCAGTAATAATCTTCAAACGTTGATATATTGGGCCTAACAACATATTTCTTCGATCACGGATGACTAACAGAAAAAAAAATCCAGAGTTCGAAGAGTATCGGTGACGATCGATGTTGGAATCACAATGCAGCAATAAGAATGATCCATTTGATTGAATACTTCGAATGAATATGTGGTTGTTTGTTTTCAATTTCATGACCAAATTATCAAGATGATACCTATATAATTGTAAATATGCTGAGTTTCCATCATTTGTACTGAAAAATCTATTATTTGAAATGAATAAAGATTGCAGCACATATATTTTTTCGAGATCGAGAAATCTCGAAATAAATTCTCGTTCTCGAAAAATCTCGAAGTGCTTTTCTCCATCTCGTCTCGAAAAAAAAAAGTTAGTCTCGTCTCGATCTCGTCTCGAAATCGAGACGAGACGAGAAATCTCGAATTTCGAGAGTCTCGTGATACCCTATACTTGAAGCTTCCTTCGAGCAAATATTTCGACTATAAAATGGAGACTGGTCCTTGAGGATGCCTTAAGGGACGAGGTCACCTTAAGGAGCGACAATAAATACGGGCCTAAGAAATACGTGTACCATAATTAAAAGTTTTGCTATCGATTGTCAAAGTTGAAAGAGTTAAACATGAGACACCCTGTATAGTGTTATGATTGAATCTGTTTATGTTTCATCCTTTGTTTCATGTACCATGTCAAAGAGTGAATATATTTGACAAAGGTTAATTCCATGATTTCATCACGCTTCAAGATATCCGGCAAATCTAGTTAGATGATACACTCTGACCCAAAATTAATTTCACAGCATATAGTTATCACATCATTAGGTGAGATAAATGATCGAAAAATTTGCATACCAGACCTTGTAATAATGTGGTAAATATCCTGAAACAATGAGATTTCACACAGGGTCGTGCAAGGACATGAAGTTGGTACTTATACTGAGCTTTCAATATTCATACTTCTACTTTGATTTTGGAGAGTTATTATATACAAGGTGTTTTTGAAACAGGTGCACATATTCAGCACAATAATATGATACAGTCTAAGGAATATTTCCATGATATCAGATTTTTTCTGATTATTCTAATTTCATCCTGAAAATACGATAAGAAAATCAAGTATGATTGAACTCCACGTGATTGTGCCTACCGCATGGAAATTTGAACAGAGGTGACGTCAGATTTGCTACAGTGTAGAAATTTAGGTGGGAAAAGGGGTCTAACCTCAAATTTCATTTTGATCCCTAATTCTTTTTATTAGTTCCATTCGATAGTACACGTCGAGCTTTCTCAGTGTTTGAGATATTTGCACTTATTTCAATGTCACCCTGTATATTATATTAACATTATTATGAGAAATCATTAAGGAATCCAGATATCTCTCAATGAACCTTGACAAATACTTTTCGAAAATGATATAGGTACATATATCTACTTACGTATTGAAAATTCATTGAAGATGCAGTAATGTTGTCCTATCAATAATTATTGTTATTATAGGCCAATAAAAACTACAATTATTATATGACAAAAAGAGAGAATTGCACAATCATGTAGTATAATGATCTGGAAAAAACGGTATTTAAAAGTGAAGATAAATGATTTCGTGATAAAATTCGCGAGAAAATTCGCTCAGGTACCTAGTTATTATATAAAAAATGAATACAACTACTGTACTAACATGCAATGATATTGTATAATACTAACCGTTCATTCTCCTGAATTTCCAGTGGGCTTTTTGACAAAATGAATTCATTTATAATCATTTTATGATAAAAAAAATACAGATTTTTCATGTAATCATGTAATGTATATTCTCTACGAGTTCAATCTGTGAATTGATGTTACATGAGAACATGGTGACTATAGGTACTTGGGTACCAATAATTATTATATCCCCCAATACGTTACAGTTTGATATATAAATGAAATTACTGACAATGAAGTTAATAACTTTTATATAGTTCTAGAAAAATAATGTTAGGAAGTTTGAATAATTATTGCAATTGCTATTATGAGAATTAGTGTTATTTCTCAATTGTATAGTGAAATACTCTACAATGAAAATAGAAATAAAAAATAAATCAATTTTGATCGTAAAAAAATTATGTGTGCATCAACATGTGCAATATAGTTATTTGTTCTACTAGGCAGAAAATCACAAGATATAATTCCGTGGCTTCAGTTGGAATGTTGCATAGCAAACTTTTTCTGCTTAAGCAGTAAAAAATAACCTTTTATGCCTGTTAATTATTGTCATCAAAAAAGCCACTTCGAATGGCATTTTCATGAAGAAAATTGTTGTTTGTCTTACTAGGCAGCAAAGCACAAGATTTAATGTCCCGGCTGGCGTTTCATATAGCCAAGGCGAAGGTGACGCTATAGGAAACCATAGTCAAAGTATTGTACCTTCTTTCCTGCTATGTGAAACATATTATTACCTCAAATTTCGTTCAAATGTCACGCAAGGTATAAATATTTAATCATTTCATGTTCACGCAATGTCATTATCAATTTTGATTAACAATTTGATTCAAATTATTACTTGTAACATTGCATAGCAACAAACTTTTTCGGCCTAGGCAGTAAAAAGACATATCTTATGCCTGTTAAGGTCATCTAAAAGGCACTTTTAATTTTATTTGGAGAAAAAGCATATTTGTTGCACTCATCATGATTACAGTTGTCGACATCAACTCGAGTTGCAAACTTTTTACACTATAGTTGCACAAACAATACACACAACACATTAATCAAATATACTCTAGTACTTTTAGGTTTGAATAATGTTATAATGTTACTTTTCCACAGAAAAAATTAGAAAAATCTATCTACCTATTTTGTTCGCGATTATATTGCTATAGGCAACAGATCAAACATATAGAAATAATGAGAAGATCGTATCAACCATTCCTACTCTTGAAAAAAGAGTCAAATCATATGTTACGTTATTATACCCTCTGTCAAATAAAATTTGGTGGTATTATTGATGTAATAGCAACAGTGTTAAATTCTTATTAGAAAATATTCTTCGAATGGAAATAATATCGTGAATCTTTTATAACTATAACAACACATATTGATTCATCAAATACACACCAAATTCTCCACATCTATAGCTATATACCATGGCCGATATTGATCTGATTCTCTAATATGAATAATCAGAATTCAAATGCAGCAGGATTCAACAAGAATTGTCATTCGAAAAAAAAATGATTAAAACATCACTCTTTCATTGGAACCATCACATCCTCGAATGAAAGATACGACTGTGAAAATGATATTTTTGTTTGCAAAATGTGCAATCAACATTTTGAAAACATGCTTCTGGTATTTCAAAACAATCAATGATAACAGATATATCATCATCGTATCATTAATTTCGATATCAATAATATGGCAGTATCATCATGAGAAAAATTGTTTAATAGGTAAATTGTACCAGTTTTGAGAGTTTTATTGAACCAATTACCTATGAGGTTTGTTTCACCAATCAAAATTATGGATATGATTGCTCCAATCAATAAATTGATTTATTTATGACTGAAGATGAAGGTATCCTACATACAAAAATGATAATAGAAATTAGATATATCATTTATAGGAATTTTAATTTAAAATTATAACAACTTCTCTAGTTGTATTTCAGAATAGTCGATTGAATTTCAGAAATCATCAATTGAATTTGAGAATAGTTACTTATATTTCCGAAAGCATCAATTGTATTCCACAATAGTCAATTCAATTTCAGAAAGCGTCAATTGTATTTGAGAATAATCAATTGAATTTCAGAAGTATGAATTGTATTCCTGAATAGACAGAAAGCGTCCGTTGTATCTCAAATGGTATTATCTGAAATACAATTGATGCTTCCTGGAATTGAATTGGCTATTCTGAAATGAAGACCACAGGGGAAAAGGGGGAATGTCACAATATAGAGGAAAATATGAGAAAAAAAAAGACCACCTTTTTATAATCTCTTGGATTCTAGGGAATCTCTATAATGTTGGGAAACATCGTGGGTACCTAGGGAGGATAGGGAGAGGAGGTAGGTATTGGGATTTTTTCAACTTTTGGAGAATATAAGCTCTTGGGAATACTCTGTTTGGCAAAAAATTCCAAGTAAACAATCCAGTTTTTTGACAATTTATTTGGACTTTCCCCATTTTTCCCTTGAATCTTTGGACTTATTTTTTGTTTTCGATGATTTTTTCATTCAAATATGATTTTTATTTCTATAGTTGTTCAACTTTATTGCTCATTATACTCCATCAAATGAGTCCAGGTGGTTTGATTTTAGTTTCCTCCAACTCGGAAACAGTAAGCAGGTTTTAAACATTGAAATGCGTTTCTCTCGAAACTTACTTTTTGTGACATTGCCCCTTTTTCCCCTGTAGTCTTCAAATACAATTGAAGCTTTCTGACATACAAATAACTATTCTGGAATACAGGTGACTATTCAGAAATACAACTGGAAAAGGTGTATAGATTCAAAAATGGTTATCATACGACTTTTTCTCCCAAATATTACTCGAATCCCTTCTTTGCCAAACCACACATGCATCCATTCATAAATTATTACTTAGGCAACTCCCTGAACTCCCGAAAACTCCACACTCCTTGATACCAGGGACACTTGTTGAACCCTCAACAGCACTTCAGTCAATCTTCGCTCGATTAATCTCCACTCGCGAATATTTCCTTCGGATGGAAAGAGCCCGCGAAACACAAGTCGCAGAACGTTGGACCAGCTTTAAATCACGGCCCGAGCGAACATATAGTGGGGTTTCTCCGTCTACAGACAGGAGGAGAATAATAATCATCGCGGCGGGAGAACGCTACAGCGCTGGACCGCGGATACTGATCAGTGATCACCCCAACGAATATAGGTAGTGAAGCATAGAAAAAAAATTTCATGACAATTGTGCATTTTGTATTACAGGCATACAATTTTCACCATTGTTGTACATAGTATGATATTGATTTCTAGATGTTGGTTACCACTGCATGCCCTTTTAGGGCTCTATAATTAACCCCAATGTATGAACAATTTACAAGTTCCTGTCCGCCCAACGTGTGCACTTCTTGAGAAAAAGCACTTTTTTCTTGTGCTGAATTTTCTTGTTTTTCCGCGATATCATACTGCCTGCCGTTGAAATATAGTTAGGAAGTTAAAACAAACTGAAGCGCTTATAATTAGGCCCTCCGCACACGGGTCGATCGGCGACATGGCGACGCGATTGCAATGACGTCACAATTTCTGCATTCGTACGATTCAAGAGACGGGAGTGTGTGTCATCCGCATATGGGTCGACGTTTTGTGTAGTCGACTCGCGTCTGATCAAGTTAGTTACTCTCCTTTTTGCAACTTCAAACAGGAAGTTTTCGCTAAAAATGAGCAGTTCCAGTGACGAGGAGGACATAGTCATGTTTTTGTGGCACCGGCAGATCAGGAGAAGAAGAAGACAACGAAGTTATGGGTGCATCCGTACATTGCACGAAATTTTCACACTCGACTTCTTGTTGCTGCACGTGAAATGCAAGAGAGTGACACAAATTTTTTGGCATTTTATAGAATGTCGAAGGAATCATAATTATATTGATCTAGTGGATACTCTTGCTCCAGCCATAAATTATGTGGATACAAATATGAGGGAATGTGTCAGCGCAGAAGAACGCATACTAATAACATTGAGGTATAAGATTCTTATATTTCAAAAAATCAAACAGTTCCTAAATTTGAGAGTATAAATTGGAAACATAAGATTATATGTTCAAGTTACTGAAAGTAAAGAACTCAAGGTAGTTAACACAAATAATCACAATGATTGAAAAATTATTGAACAACTTTCTCCATTGAGACGCACGATTCACTCGATCAAACTGCTTCCTTGCTAATCGCATGCGACTGAAAACGAGGAGATCTTAAATCGTACGTTTCTAGACGACCACTAAACGACCCGTGTGCGGGATCCAAATGCTTTGCTTAGGAAGTCGAGTAGAGGGGAGACAGTCGTACGATTTGAATCGCGTCGCCCATGACGCCGATCGACCCGTGTGCGGGTGATTCACACAAGACCAACGAGACGAGACTTTCATTAAGTCAGTAAGTTGTTATCAGTAATTTTTTATTGGCACCTCATTTATCCACTACTGAATTTGACAAACGTACTGTATACAAACTATATATATGATAGATTTTCGATCTCAGCTTTCCATGAAAATTCCAAATATTAATTTTTTTATCGCTTGGAGCGCACGAAAGGGAATCCCTATAATGTTCAAAGAACATCGTGCGTTCCTGGGGAGGATAGGGACAGGAGGTAGGTATTGGAACCCTTCTTGAACTTTTGGAAATTATATGTTGTTGGGAATACTTCCACAGGCAATGAATTCCAGAGCCTAGCCGTTCTATGGATGAAGGAGTCTTGATAAAGTGTTGTTCGACATCTTTCGAGGTTGACAACCAAAAGGATGTGCTGACTGGGCTTGTCTAGTTCGTCTGATTGGTATTGGTATAAATGATACATAAAGGCTGTTCCATTAAAAAATCCTGTTACGGACGCCATGACTAAATCGACGTGTATCAAGAGATCATTCAGAAATGGACAGTTTGGTTAAAAATGAATTCATTCAGTACTTTACGAAAGCACTGTATATTCAAATTGCTCCCATATCTAACGCATATATGTATAACATGAAGTGCCCCAATTTCTTAGAATCAGTTCCATATAATGTACTAACAATGATAAT